GGTGCTCGTCCCGGGTTCACCTTCACGAGCTTTTGACAGAGAGATGGATGAGAGAGAGGGGAGAGGAAGCAGCAGAGACCGAGGAAGGGCCGGACGCCCCACGGTTTGTTTGCGAACGCGGGACCCCAAGCCGTCAGGTCTCCTCCACTTCCTGCGTGTGCAGCCTCGTAATGACAAAAGGAGGTCCGCGGGATTAATCTGTAAAGTCTGGAAACACAATGGAACGCTCTCCCACATCAGCAAGATACCAGAGGGGGGGGGCCGGCATTATGGGACAGAACGGATATGAAAGGAGCTTCAACAGGTGTATGCTTGAAGACTAAATGTTTAGTTTTGTCATTCTCTTTGCTAAAAAAAACAGAAGATCTCATCTTTAAATCCTGAAACTTCCATGACTAGAGATTTTCAGGATGTGACCCATCACCCGAAAATGGTCATAGGTCACAATTGTCACATCAAAGAAGAAATCCCCTATGCTAGTACTACAAAAGCCCGAAAGCATTTCACTCCCCTTTCTTGTTTTCTCTTGATCTGAGAGGCTGAGCTGACCTAAATACGAACCACATTAGGGCCCCTGTTCTCGCCCCCTCCTCCAAACCCCCTTTTCCCCTAAACCTGATGTTTTTTTGGCAATGTGACAGCAAGTAGCCGCACTCGCCACAGCAGCGGCCCTGGCCCAGAAAGGCAACCCTGCTATCAGGAGTTTTTGGTCCAGAGAGCTCAGTTTCATCTCTCTGGCTTAAACTAAAGAAAAGTCAAATGGGGACTTTAACAAAAGCTATTACCAAACTGCTTCCTAAACAATAAAATCTTGATGCATGCACCTTTTTAGAATTAAAACGACGATGATGAGATCCTCCTGAAGCAGCAAGATGCAGAGGAAGAATATGGCTAGGTGGCATGAGTTAACAGAAAAATTGAGATTTCCATCTGATATAGGCTTTATTTAGGCAGGTGTGATGTTACACATTATATCAGTCAGCCCATTCTCAGCACACAGTGACAAGCACGTCGCTACACGTGAGATCTTAACATGCTTGGATTGTCCTATCAATACCATCTGCGATTCTTATCAGCAGCAGTGATACACTCTTGGTTCTGGCTGGGATACAGGCCAAGCCCAGCACTCGGCACTTAAGTGGTCCATTCCTCTTTTGCTCTCCTCCATCTTTCATGGCTTTTTCATTTCAGCGTCCTTTTATCGCCATGCCAAGCAGGCTCAATGCGGCCACATTTTTAATTAAAAATCTAAAATGCGCAATAACTCCGGCGAACTCTGGGTTAGCTGGCGAACAGGTCCACTGATCTTGTTTCACCCTTCAAGCATTTGCTGCTTATCTCATCAAAGCCTTTTTCCAATCGCGCCTTTCCGTTTGGTCCAATTCCGTTCACTCGGCTGCATAAACGCCCCGACATAAGCCAAACAGGACGCGCAGATTTACCGAGGTTGCACCTTTACAGAAAAGCTCCCCTGCGAGCGGCTGAACTCTCACTCCGAGACCACGGCCTAATCCATTCAAGGAGCCTGAGAAAAATCCAATCCTTGAAGTCACTCTTCTTGACTTCCCATGACTCCCCCCAAGACAAAAGCCTGCCTGTGCAGACACGGCGTGGATCAGGACCCCAGTGCTTGGGCTCAGTCATCTGGGTGCGGCTGTGTAGTGTTTCTCACACACTTTCCAGAGGCACAATAAAACAAATTCCACCTCCCCTTCGGAATTACCCAAAAGCCATATGTTTTTCTACCTGGGAAAGCGGCGGGCTGTCACATTACACGGAGTCTGTAGCCTGGATTTCACAGCAAAATTCAAATATGAGCAGACAGTAGGGGAGCTGAATATCTTAATTACAAGGTAGCAAACACAAGTTTTCCCAGGTTTTTGAGGCCGTGAAGGAAAAAAGAGGCAGCCCCCATGTAACTCAGGAGAAATCATTACACTGTGAATGAAATGAGTTTCCTGGTTTTGTACAGACCATAACAATAAGTCTAATCTCAGCAAAACTGATGTTTATTGTTACCAAAAATTTCGGAAAAAGTTTTTAAAAATGACTTCAATAACTTGTGAATGATTGGCATTTGTGTTATGAAAAAATTGCAAGTAAAAACCGAAGTCTTCGCTCCTTTCCCATTTTGTTATCATTCTCACATTATCTCCTCACATATCAGGAAGGTAGAGGGGGGGGGGAGGTGGCAGACAGGTTAGGAATTCCAGGCCTCCTCCTTGCTCAAACAGTGGGAAAAAGCTCAAAGTATTCTGCAAGGCTACGGCTCATTCATTGGAGCCATGGAGGTTGGGGGTAGAGGGGTAGAGGGGGGGGGGGGGCCCAAAAAGTCATCCCCCATCCCACCCCCCACCCCGAGAAGCATTCCACAGGTCTGTCTGCTCGCCCGTCATTAGGCGGGACCACCTGCTGGCAGATCAGAACCCCCGTTATGTTCTCCAGAAGCCCCGACTAACCCCATTACCAGTGACCCGCCGGACCGCTGTACACACGTATCATATCAGATGTGCGCGGCTAACACATCGCTCGCTAGCACACTGGCTGCCCTTCTGCGGCCGGGACTTAAATAGATGACAACACAAAGGGGGCCAAAGAACGGATCCCCGATGCAGCTGTTGCATGACTATGCATGGATTTCTGACTGGCTCGTCTTGCCGTCTTGCCGTTATAAAAAAAAGGGAAAGGGAGGAAGAGATCAAGACGGAAGGAAGAAACAGCCCCTTTGTTGCTGTTCTTCATCAGGGCCCCGAGGGAAAGACTTTGACGTGGAGTCATCAGGAGCTGAAACAAAAGCAGCTGATAAACAAGAGAAAGGCAGATATGATCTGTGTGCGCTCAACACTTCTCCATCAAGAGGGCTTCCTCTCTTCCAAACCCTCCACAACCCCCCCCCACCTTCTATCTTTGTTGCAGAGGTTGAAAAAAAAAATCAATCGGAACCGATAATAAACACTGCACTTTTTTTCCTTTTTATGGCCCTGACTTATGGCACGCCGGTTGTTATTCAGAGCCTTCATCCACTTCTGCCGAGCCATTCCTTGAGTTGTAAGTCAACAAGCTTAAATGAGAGAAAACTCCAAGAAACGGGAAGCGCTTTTGGGGAAGTTTCGGCCCTGTGAGCGTCCGGCGGTGGTCAGCGGAGGGGCAGGTATGCGCCGCGTGGAAGCCTTTAGAGCAAACGAGTGCACGCACGGACTGACTGACCCCGGAGTGGCACCACCCACCGCGATAAAGCACGAGAGCAGGGACAGCGTGAAACATTAAACCAGAGGGCATCTCTCTTCACACGGCCGTGCCACAGCAAAGAACCAAAAAAACAAAAAAAAACAAACCTTTTCTACATCACTCATCTTTTTTTTTCTCTCTCTCTCTTATGCCCGTGTCTCTTTCTGAGGGGCTCTCGGTGGCAAGGAGCTCGCACAAAGCCTTTTTTCTTCCACCTCAGACAATGCACCTCCCCATCTAGCGCTCTGCCAGGCATTCCTGAGTCTATCCCAGCTATCGAAAATGTCAAGAATGGGGAGAGCGAGCGCAGAGGAGGGTGCAGCGAGCGCGGCGGCAGGTAGAGTCTTGTCCCGCCGCGCTCACATCCCACAGTCTCCAGGGCAAGTGCTCGCGTGGAACGGGAAAGGGGGATCGGACTTGACTCCCTTAATTAAAAATCTTCACTTGAGCAAGCCCCAGTGCTCATTCTTCTCTGGATGAGAGGCTTTCAAGCTAATTATCAGGGCCAATTCCATCGCCCCCCCCCCCCCCCCCCCCCCAAAAAAAAAAAAAAAACCCAAAAGAAGAATTCCTGACGGGGCTGGATAAGACAGCTGCCCTCCGAAATGACTTAAAGGCTCATCCGAGCATAGGCCGCTCGGGAGCGTTTTAGGGAAAAGGTTCAATCTCTTCCTAACTTCTGCCTTATGACTCCCGAGCATGTCCTCGCCACTGTGCCTTCAACTGTAAGGTAATAGGAGAAAATCTGATTATGCTAAATAAAACCCTCTTCAAATACAAAGCCCTAAAACAAAAAAAAGCACATTGTACACTGTTTGTCAGAGCCAAGAGCCCCCCAACACCCCCTCCACTAGCCCCTCCTTTCCACAATGGGAGTCCAAGAGGAAGAAAAGGGGGCTGAATAAAAAGGTTAGCAGAGCAGTGTTTCGTGCTTGGACAGACAAACAGAAGAAGTTTTATGTGTGGGCCAAATGCAACTTAACACTGCAAACAATCTCAGTCCACTGGAACATCCTGCCACCCAGAACTGTTCGGAAGAAAAAGGATCCAGAATCCAGAATCCAGGCCCCCACGGCTCTGAAAACAGTGATTTCCCCAGAGAGCCCCGGAGCCGGACGGCCGGTGCTCCGACCCACCTCACTCCGGCCGGTCCAAGTGTTCGAATTCGAACTTTGAACAGCTGCCAACGTTGTCAAGCCCCAGTAAAAAAAAAATGAAACAGCAGCCAGCTTAGCGCTCGCTGGCACAGGGGGGGGAGGCCGCAACAGCTTCACAGTCACGGCCCTGACAAATTACTTCTCAAACGGGGGACTCCGAAGAATAACAGCATTGAACGGCCCTGTTTCATGCTGCTGTCCCAGGATGCCGAGCATAAGAAAACAAACTACAATATTCACGTTCAAGGCTCTCTGTATCCCTCTTTTATCCCTCCGTGTTACCTGAGGGAGTCCTATTCCTTTTACAAACCCATTTAAAAAACCTGTGCTACCCCAAGTAAAAGTCCCAGTTCCTGTGTCACGTGTTCCTTTCACTTCTGACTTCATAAAAAGGCCCGGAGACATGGTGCAAAGGTCAGGGATCATCCCTTGACCGCCCGACCCCTTGTCCCCGCGCTGTTTATTAGTCACACCTACTTCGAGGCCTCCGGCGGGCGGAGCCATGGCAACGGGGCTTCTGAAATGACGCGGGCGTTCTCGTCAAATGCAAGACATCCTCCTTTTAGCATGACATGGCAATCTACGACTCATAACGTACGAAAGGACTCGTATTGAAGATCGTAGTCCGCCTACTCACCTTCCACGCACTGCTCCACGTTCTCCAGGTTGCGGAGGGTAATCCTCATCAGGCTGGAGTTGAGCATCAGCTCGCTCTTGTGCTCCGGCCCCATGGACTCCGGGGCCGGGTTGAGGAAGAAGATGCGCGTGTCCCCCGTGGCCACCTGGTTGTCGCAGATCCCCGGGTGGCCGAAGCCGCCGATCATCACCTTGTTGCCGCCGTCCAGCAGGATCTCGCGGTCCACGTTAGACTTCCCCTTCAAGTAGCGCCACACTCTGACCTTTAAAGAACCACATCAGAACATGTTTTTGACCACTCTGAACACGCTTCTCATCTTTATTTTAAACTGGGAGCCATTTTTTCCTCTCCTTTAAACTCTGGGCCATCTCAAATAAGGTTTACTTCAGAGGAAACTATTTCATTTCAGGGTAATTTTCTCTAATTTCACCATTGAAATTCATAATGACTTGTTTCCACAGATAAAATAAAAACCAAAAATCCAAAAGCTCTTTTGAGATATTGAATTAGACTGTAGATTTTGCCCAGCTTTTTCCACGCAGAGCAGCTTTGGGACAGCTCACTCCTTCTGTTCCACCTTAGCCGCCTGGTCTCATTTCAACGTTCGGTGGTGGTTTCTGTTTGAGAGCTGTGTGAGAGCTCTAATCTGCCCCATTCATCCACCGGGGAGACGGGAAGCGAGCAGGTTTCAGAGGAAAAGAGCAGCAAAAAGGGGAGCTGACCAAACAGAATTTGTTTCGTTTTCGCAGATTACCGAGTGGCCCACCACAAGTCGGCCACGGTGCAAAAGTTAAGTCTCGCAGTGAATGGTCGGGGAAGGAGAATGCAGGAAGGCCGCTTCCTGAATGGAAATCTGCATATTCTGGGGACTGCCAAAGGTTCTTTTCCATGTTTGCTGCACTCTTAATCAGAGATAAATGTGGCATGAACATAACTGTACAAGAACAAAAAAAAAGAAAAGGGTTTATCTGTCCTGTTTTTATCAGTCACGTATGAAACAAATAAAAAAGTTCTTGAACGCACATCTTTATTGTTTAGGCCACTCCTTGTAACACTTGTCAGCACTTTCTGCAAAGGAAATAAGACAACTCTTCACATGTAGAATTGGAGCTTTGTCTTAAATGTGTTTCGGCGGTTATTAAGTTTAGTTTGAGAGGTCCTGTGATTTATTTTATCCTAAATGACACCTCAGTTAGTGCCACAAGTAACAAATCTTGTACTGAGTTTGTACTGAGAGTGGAGCTGGTTGTCAGCAACACATCGGAATAAATCAAAACTCTGAATTCTGTCCCTGAGGTTGCTGACAAATGACTAGCTGCTTGTTTCAGCCTTCATGACCAGATATCCAGTGAGAGCTGCCAGTCGGGGGCCACCAAGGGACCAGTTTCCTGCTGCAGCATGTTTTGGATGATTACATGGTCGGTTAGGCCTGACTTAGAGCTATGTAATAGGAAATAATAATAATAAAAAACATCATCTCTGTCTTTCTGAGGAATATTTCTGAGGGAAATTGGCATACAACGTCCAGGAAACCACTGCCAAATGCCTCTGAATGAAGGAAAGCTGCTGACCACGTCAGTTTTTCTCAAATGTGGCAACTCATCTGATAATGGGACTTTTTTTTTTAAAAGTCCACGGCCCTTTTTAGCAGGTGCCTGCACCGTGACGCGCGCGCTCCGCTGCGGAGACTCGGCACGATCCCACCGGGAATCCGCAGGAAGGAAAACACACACTTACCTTGCAGGAATAGGTGTTATGCACCGGGTCCACGTTAATGATCTCGTCCACGGTTCCGGTCAGAACTATGTTGGCCTCCTCTTCCCTGTCCTCCAGGTCTTTCTCCGGGCAACCGGACGCGCAAAGCTGCCCGAGAGCCGCGAGCAGTCCGGCCAGGAGCAGCGCTGCCCGGCCGGCCTGGACAGTCCTCCGGGAACCCATGACCAGCGCACGAAAGGAAAAGCCCAAAAGTTTGACTTTTTCTCAAAGAAAATCTGGCCGCTCGGTGCGCCCCCGAGTACAAACTCCGCAACTGCCCCTTGCGCGCGTTCAGAATGTGGCACTCCCGAGACTCCGAGAGTTCCTACAGTTTCCCCGAGCGTTTCACCGCCGTTGTTCTGCTCTTGCACCCCTGCAGCCCTGCTCCTCTCATCTGCTTTCCCGGGTTCAAAATCCCCCCAAAAAAGCCGCCGCCGGCCGGGATACCAGGAGGGAGGAGAGGCGCTGAGAGGAAGAACGAGGAAGGGGCAGGGATCTCTCTCTCCAGGAATGCAACTATACCTCACTCCTTTACCCCCCTCTCTCTCTCTCTGTCTTTCTCTCTCTCTCTCTCTGTTACGCGCACACACACACACACACACACACACACGTCCACAGTGACGCTCCAGGATTTGCATGCAATCTGAATTGCTGATCCCACAAGTGAGGATGAGGTGGGTGATGATGGTGGGGGCAGCCTGGGGGGGGGGGGGGGGGGGGGCTGCAGGCTGGCTTTTGCCAGCGGAGAGGGACTGTCCGACGTCGCCCCCAGTCGGGCAGACGGTGCCTCTACCTCTGGTCATCCATCCATGGCACACCCCCCCCCCCACTCCCACCCCACAACGTGCGCTTGCAGGAACATTTAGATGATTTGATTTGTCTCGTGCTTCTCAGCACAAATTGGGTGGATTGGCTTGTCCATGATTGATCGGTTTGCTTATGTTCATCTGAAAGATGTGGAGGTTGTCGTGGCGTATTGCCATACTTCCCTGACTGATGTAGGCCCTGCTTAATCTTTTGATTTTGAATAGGGAACGTCTATAATAAGGTAAGAAAGTGTGCAATTTCTATAATTTCACACTGTAAAGTTTTGGCATGTAGCAGTGGAGTCTCAATAAGGTTTACACAAGATTCGATTTCACAATCCAACGTAAGATTATAAAAGTTAAATCTATTTTTCAAAAGTTTGCACCTTTTTCAGTTTGTTTAGGCTGATTGCATTTAGGCTCTTTGAGAAACAGTTGTGTAAATGATAATAGGAATAGAAATACTGAGCCCCGATGAACACTCTGGGTGTTCATCCAAAGTGAGTGAACATCCAAACTCATCCTGTGTCATATATCATTAAAGATTCCCCCTATTAAATCCCCGGGTTTAGATCTGTAAATGCAACCATATGGCAGTTTTGTTAGAACACTTTTTTAAAGAGCAGACAGTGCATAAATTTCCGCTCCTCAAAAGCTGTAATTTTAACTACCCTTCTATTCCTGGGAAATGACAGGCTTGGTTATGCTCAGTTGCTTGAGAGGATATTTGTAGAAATTTGTCCAAATAGGTTTCAGTGGGGACAGCTGACTTCGCTCCAGTAAAGGCGGTGTGTTTTCCTAATGATGGATCACAGTTTGTCATGACTTTTCGTGTACATTTGTGCATAAGCTTTGTTTATAGGAGAACATATTCTTTATTATTCTGTTCTTCTGGCTATTTAGAGTTAGATAAACACAACTAATGATCAAATGTGTCATTAAAACTTGGAGCTGCTCCACTGAGGCCAAAAACCAGATTTTGTGGTGTTGTAGAGCATATTTATTGGCCTTCACATTGAAATTAGTTCTGTTTAAAACCAGCCATAAACACGTTTAACTTGAACATGTACTGAAATGTAAAAACCTCTTCACAGCGGGTTATTATTCACAAAGAGTTATTTCATGGGCATGGTGCTGATTGCAGAACTGTTATTCATTAAAAAGGTTTGGAGTGGTAAATATCCAGGCTTTAAAGGAAGGGCACCTCAAATCCATGTTTAAATATCTGAGCACTCTTGTTTGAAACTTTTTGCTGGCATCAAATTCCCCATAAAAAGAATCGAAAAATTGTCTGCTTCCACATACGAAATGCTCATATGTTACTATATGTTTAAAGTGATTGACCAAACAGTGCATTGTCTTTTCTTTCTCATCTTACAAAAGTCCTCTGAATCGCTGCATATACACGGAATTTGGCAGCTTTTTAAATCGGGAAAAAAAAGTCATCAACAACATTCCCCTGCAGACACAAACCACAATATTGGAACCTTTTTTTCATAATGTGAAACTCACCAGAGCATCCTTCTCAGGCCTCTGTTCAGTTATCTCCTGGCAGCCGTCCACCTCCCAGAAAAGTTTCAGCACAGAAAAAAAACCCGACAAAAAAAGCAAAATAGCTTTTGCAAGGATTTGACTGAAAGGAGACATTTCGCAAGAAATATGCATGACTCAAAGTGAAAACGCTTGCAACGACAGACAGAGATAAAGAAGAGATTGGAGCAAAGACATTAAGCCTGTCCCCCCCCCCCCCCCGACATTTACTGCTGATGTGGAGGTGGTGACAAAGCTGCCGCAGGAACCTTTTGTTAAATTTGAAAATACCGAACAGCCATGGGAAGTATCTGTTACAAATAAAGGCGATGTTAATTATATCATGTTGGTCTTGGTTTCACTGGATCCAATCCAATCCATTTTATTCAGGTTATTTTTAATTAGTTTTGCTTATGCTGAGGAAGGTCTGCAGCTGGAAAGAGTTGACTGTATTCAGGCGTGTGTCACGGGAAAAAAAAACTAAAAGAGGTGTAACCTGAGATGCGACATAAGAAGCTCATTTGAATGCTGTCCAGGAGGGATGCAATTTACCGAGAAGCAGCTGCATTGCTGCGCCCATGTGGATCTCTGCATTATGGTCAGTCAGAGAATCACAGTGCTGAGAACCAAGCCAGCCGTTTGGCTTGTGCTCTACTCGCGTAAGCGATATCTTTACAGTGCGTGCCACATAAATAATGCACCACCCCAGCTAAAGTTATACTGCTTTTTTTGGGGTTGGTAACTTTTGTTTTGTTGCACAGTCCCTCACCCTGGTGCCGTCTTCTGCTTAGTAATTCGTGTTTTAGAGATACCAAGCGAGCACAATCGAGGCTTTTTCTCAAAGAGGGCCGCGCTGGTGCTCGGTGGAGAGAGAGAGAGACATTCCAGCGTTATCAAATGTGACTGCTGTAGCCCTTTTGTTTTTCCAGACGACAGGCCCACACCTCTTTATCAGGTATCAGCATGAGAACAGTGGAGCTGGCCTCAGCTGCCTGGCATCCATCCGCCTCGGGTTACAGGCGGGGTGTTCGGTTTCCTCCGGCACGGCCTGCCCCCCCCCCCCCCTCTCTGCAGCCTCCAAACCACCGGCCGGAGACGCGGTGCAGAGGAACTCATCTGCTGATACGCTCATGATGGGAAATGCGAGTCACCGTATCTGTTGTCTGCGCAGATTCGTAGTCTGTGCATGAATGCAAATCAAGATTTTAGTGGCTGTTTCATGAGAATCCTTCAGATCACAGACATCTGTCAGCCATCAGTGTGGCAAGGCTGCCTCCCAAATCATTGTAATTTAAACTAAAGCCAAACTCCGACTTCTTTCTGCCTACACTTTTATTTGCATTCTTTCATCTCGGAGTCTGGAATTACTACTGGTTCTCAGGGCTGATCATTAAAGATCATTTTTCTTTTCATGCAAATATCTTCCCAACCATTTATGTTGACGGCATTATTATAATATAGGAACAGTAAGATTTGCTACTGCATGTTATAGCGTGAGAATAACCAGTGCATCTTGAATGTGAAAAAAAAGAGATAACAGTAAGTTTCAGAAGTGCCAGGAGTAAGCCAAAGTCTATTTCCATCCAGGGAAGAGGAGGAGGACACACACTTGGGTGTTTATCTTGATTACAGGACAAGAAAAAGGACAAGAAACACATCACTAAGGCCGTCTAAAACAAAGGGTGGAGCAAATGCTACTCTTTGAAAAAGTTTGGGTGAAAAAGCTTTTGGGTTTGCAGCAAAATGTATCATCCCATTTGTCTCTTTTCCTTTTGGAGTCGGTCTTTCCTGCTTTCAAAACTGCCAGCAGATATTTCAACAATTGTCTGTGTTTATATAGGCACCTCCATAAAAGATGCATATAGTCAAAAAGCATTTTCTGTTTTGTGTTTTCAGCACAGAGCTGTAGCCCCAAAATGGTCTTGTGTCGGACCAGTTTTGTCTTGAAAAGAAAAGTCTGCTTTTATCAATTTTAATCAGATTCTTTTTTTTTGTTATCATTTTGTTTGTGGCCCTTGCATTTTGTTTACTGGACTTATCAACAGCTGATAAGTTAGAAATGGTTGCTTATTGTAAATATTATGGTCTGGTCTAAAAACTGATAAGCTGGGAAAATATCTGTCTGAAACATGGAGCATTTTACATCTGTGTAACACTTCTACATCTTGTCGTCTTACAGGCAAGCAAGATGGAAAGGAAAGGAGTAAATAAGGATTTTTCTAGTGCTATATTGCAACCTTCCAACTGCAACTCCACTTTCCCCAAACAGTGGAAGAAAACTGTGAGTCCAGGTATAAGACTGTGTTCAGTTCTCTGACAGTTTGCCAGATGGCCCTCTGCTTTGTGGAGTCAAGTCTAAACAAGAGACGTGTATTCACACCTGGTTTTATCCCTGTACATTTAACTGGAATGTGAGATACTTCAATGTCCCGTTAAGTCCCTCCCCATTTCTTTCTTTTTTTATGAGGCCAACTTTGTCTTTCTGTCGAAAGGTTTGCCGTTTATTCATCGTTCCTTCCTCTCTTTTTTGATGCCCAAATATGCAACATCCTTTCAATAATAGCCTGGGGGTCCTGGAGGTTTTCCGGCATTACTTGGATCTGTCTTATCTAACTAGTCTACCAGAGATAAGGTCAAGTAGAGGCGTAATGAAGTGTCGGTGGAAAACTCCATTTAGGCGGAGTATGCCTAATTACAGATAGGAAGCTAAGTAAAGTCTCCTCACTTCCTTATGTCACAAGTCGCGACTGCACTGATATGATTCACAATGCTCCCCACAGGAATGAGTTACACTCCAAAACTGTCTTGTATGAAGCCTATTTCACGTTTTCTGTGATAACAGGCCGAGAATCCATGAAATGACGCACATTTTCTTTATTCAACACACCAAAAAACACCTCAAATAGAACATGCCAGTATGAATTTCAGCAAACTATTATCTATCATCTGTGAGAACAGATGTAAATTTCTCATTGTCCGCCTTAATGAGCAGTGAAAGATTTCCCGTCTGCCTCCATTAGTCCACCTGTCCGTCCGTCCTGCTCCTGCGCCCTCCAGCTCGTTTACGCAGAGTGGCAACAATTTACAGTTTGCCATTCTGTCTAATGGATACAGTTCGTTTCGTTCCCAGCGAACTCTTTGGCAAGCTCTAACCGGAGTCCATTAGGAAATGAATCCACCAGGCAAGGCCTGCAAGCGCACCACTGCGGATTAATGACAAGATCAGAGCCTGTCTGGCTTGTGAACGAGTCAAGACTGCTGAGCTGATTTTATATTGTGGATTTATTAACTACCTCGGCTGCCATCTGCATGATGAGGCTATTTTGATGTGAAATTGACCGTGGCGGTCAACTACTGCGCGCTATGTCACGTCCTCCCTGTTTGACACACTGTATATAAACATAACAAAATGATTACCGTTTGGAATAGATGGAGATAGCATTAAAAAAGACTGATACCTCAGCAGAAACACTGATGCTACTTTAAATCAGACATTCACCGTGAAACTCCCTGATTAGGAACTTTTTGATGTACAGGAAGTCAGTCAAAAAGAGTCCTTGTGCCTATAAAATGGACTTAAAACTACCCTGCAAGGTAATTCATGGATTAGTTATAGTGTTTGATCGATAGGTCTCACCAAGGGAAGGGACGTTGATCAATATGTTGACTCGCTGAGTGTATGTGTGTCTGGGCTTGTCCTTCCTAAGTCAGGGAGCTGCCAGAAGACAAACTAAGCACTGTGGCAGGAAAGTGCAGCATCATCATGGATTGCTTTTCTGCGCTCCTCTCGATCTACGGCTCTTGTCAGCTTGCATTAACTAAATGCCCTCTCTATTGTCTCCGAGCCACGTTGCACTTTTTCATCTGACCGGCTGTGCTAATTCAATTTAGCTCTACAGTCCAATCATTTAAGTCTATTGCCACAATTCAGTCTGGACCTGCTTGCATTGCTAAGAAGGAAATCTAGAATTACTCATTAACTCATTAGAAATGCTGCAGACCATTGACTCTCTTCTTTCCTAAGCTGGCAACACTTTGCATCGATTGGAATTGTTACAATTTTCACTTGATTTCCCTTTCTACCTGAGCCTTTGGTCTTACGGATGCATTAGGCTGTTAGGCCTTTGAGTCCCTTTGCACATGTCTGTTAAACTGGAAGAACTAAACCTCTGCTCGTAATGGAAGGCACTGCTGCTATGTAAAAGGAATTACCTTCATTTTCTGTTAATGGACACGCCACACTAAGCATGGGCATGTTGCCCAAACAGGTGGGAAGACAGACTCGGACCAAGATATAGTTTTGGGCCATTGCCAGGGAGGGATAAAAGCCGCCTACAGCATCCACAACCAGATGTTACCTAATGAATCCTCGCCCAGGAATCTGTGACTCATACTAAATCTCCCCTTCTGCTTAAAAGAAAATCTACAAGAACCTGAGCAGGATGGTAAAAAGGAAAAGGGAAGATTATGAAAAGGTAGAATATAACAAAAAATGAAATGCATAACACAGGGAGGGCTGCACAAAGTTCTGAAAGATTAAGAGACGGACAGATGTAGATGAGATAAAGTGGGTGGAAAAGTAAATGTAGAAATTCACCTTTTCTACCACCCCACTCTCCCCCTTTCAGGGTAGACTGAATGACAGGTTCCATCATAGGAAAAGTATTTCAAGAAGCAGCGCTGAGTGAAGAGGCAAAGCAGAAAATAAACAAGAGTGATGGCAGACGAATCAAAGCCTCAGACGGATGAAAGTGTGCTCAACTTCCTGTCAGTCACTTAGCAGAGGAGGCCGACTGCTTGTTAGGACAAGGCCTTCATAGCTGTTTGCATGCATTCATTTCATCAAGTGTGTGTGTGCTGATGTTGAATGATTACATGTGTGTTTCACCTCCTGAAAGAATCCCTCCCTGTTTTTTTTTTTCATCTTGTCTCACAGACACAAACTCTTCAGTGAAAGCACATGTTTGAAATAAAGGTGAGTCTTGCCTGACTGAGTGTCTCATCAATGAAATATGTCCGGCTTGGCCGAGCCTGAGAGAGGAAGAGAGGCCCCTGGGTGCAAAAGCATGGATCTGTTCTCCTTCCAGTGTTGTACATTTTGTTTCCCACCGCCGCCCCTCTTCGTTCTCTCGATGTAAAGTGCTTTAAGGCAGATATCATTTGCATGCTTGTGTACTCTGCTTTGCAAAGTCTGGGGCACACTGGTTTATGCTGCACAACCTGCCCTCAGTGCCAGTCTGACCAATGTTTAATGACCTTACTGGGACTTTTCCAGACATTGCAAAAGTATACACAGTTTTTTAGGGTGTATGTTCAGCTGCATTTTGCAGCCCCGTCAGGGTTGCTGCTTCCTTCCTTTACTGTCTTGCTCTTTTCTGATTTGTTGCATCTTGTAAGGGTATCGTGTGCTGATGGATACTCTGAGTTACTTTCATTTGTAAAAGGTTTTGGCCCATCCATGTGAAACGCAAGTTCATATTAAAGCTGCAAAGGCATGCTTGGTGCAAAAAAAAGGAGAAACAACTACCATCGCGTCTACTGAAATTACAATAATGATCCTTTGTTCAAATATAAGAAGTAGAAACAGGTTGCTGGCATTTGATAGAGATGGAGTAAATGAATAAATTAAAAATAAGCACTGACATAAAGTACAGTTTCTAAAGGAAATGCATTTAATTGACCTAAAACAGCATTTTCATCAATACAACGAACATGTGACTGGTTGAAATTACACAAACTTGAGGTTGCAAAGTTGGATGGAGTGATTTAAGAGAAGATACAGATACATTTATTTAGTATTTATGAACAGAAATAAATACATAACAATCAAATGGATTAAACAATGATCTTATATGATATCATAGAGAAATAACTGAGTCCGTAACGTTTCTGACATTTTTTCAAGAGCCAATTTAGTTCAGCATTCAGTTCAAGTCATTTCAAGTGAAATGCCAAAGCTAAGACCAAATTTATGATAGAAAATAAAGAACTTTAAAAACATCCATTGAAAAAATGTCCCAAAAATGTGTCAGTGACCTAATCTTCAAATTGCAGTCCCTGAATACTTTGCAAAAATATTAAACAAAAGCCAGGCAAGTTCATCCCGACCGTCAAAGCTGATTTAACACAAGGACAATGTCTCCCCCCTGAGGCTAAAGATGATCCATACAGCTGGGGGGAAAGAGCCAGAGGATTTTGTTTTAAATTTTTCCATGACAAACTTAAAAAATATTTATGAAAAAACTTAAAGTATAAACTGTAGAAAGCAAAAAGAAGAAGAAGAAGAAGAAAAGAAAATCTGACATGTAATTAGGTTTACTGACAAGTGTCCATTGACCTCAACCTTAATGACCTGCCATGCGTAAAGAACCCTTCAACCACCCATAAACAGTTACTTCTACCAACTAGTTTAACCTGAAGAAAGCTTATTATGAGAAAGTTTCAGAACCCCATCCCAAAAAAAAAAAAACTTCAGTCAAGGGAGACTAGTGACACTTTTCTGTTTCAAACTGCAGCTCAAACTATTTCTGATACAATTGTCTCTAACTTATCTTCAATCAAATTCCGGGGTTTAATGATTCATAAATAATATAAGCTACATTTTCCACTAACAGCGTCAGTGTCCACATCCAGTTGCGCTCCTAACGTAAAATGTGGAGCCTTTACTCCAAAAGCGTCAGAGCTGCGTCGAGCTTTGCGCAGGCTGCGCAGCCGGACGCTCGTGAGTTTGGCTGTGGATGTCCTCCTGGAGTCGGTCCAACTCAGACATACCTCAACTACTCAACCTTGCACTGTCCTCGCCACGTTGTCGTAAAATGAGACATATTCTGCATGAGTGGAATAGCGCCTAAGTGTTCGACAATTTTAATATAAACACGTAAGTCACCTAATGTTCCTGCTTTGCTAACTGTACGCAAATGGGATAGCTATAGGTTAGCACGAGCTTACGTTAGCTTAACAGAGTAAGCATGATTCACGAACCAGATGCTGTCCACACCTAACCCGCAGTACCCGTATAATCTGGACGGCGTAATAGCATTGTAAGAAACTATAGAGATGTTGCTCAGTGAGTTTGTTTTTGTTTGGTATGTCGTATAAAGCGGCAATGTTAGCAAACTGCTTCACTCGCTTGTCATACACGATAGCAACCAAGCTAACTGTAAACAACACTGACCAGGTGTTTGCCATCATTGACCCAACCCTGAAAAAAAGCTTTTCGTCCTATATGTCGCCGTTATTCTGTTACAGGTAGCTCTCTGTTAACTTAAAAATGTATTAACAGAAGCGAACCTCTTCAGTTGATTGTGTCCAGATTAGGCCATGGTGATCATATCGGGCACAGCCACTGTGCTGCAACAGTTTATCAGCGGGCTGAAGAGTCGAAATGAAGACACCAGGGCAAAATCTGCCAAAGATCTGCAGCATTATGTGACCACAGAACTCAGAGAGGTACTGCCACCCTACAAGTTGCTCCTAATATAAAGCAAATTAGAGCACAACATTAAATATTCTCTTGTTAGTCGTCCACTGTCGGTTCTGGACATGAGTCCATCCTTCAATTTGGCTATAGATGCTTAATAACATGTGTAATACTTTTGATATCCTACAGTAAAAGTGTGTATTCTGAAAATGTGTCTGAGTAACTGTAACCAACTGAATTATGCTCTATTGTTTTGTTTTTTTCTGACACAGTTAAGCCAAGATGAAGCCACCACCTTCTACGATGAGTTAAATCACCACATATTTGAGCTGGTATCCAGCTCTGATGTGAATGAAAAGAAAGGAGGCATTCTTGCTATAGGTATGCTTTGAACAAATGTTTCTGTCGTAGAAAATACAGCCCATGAAATGTGGCTGAGTGTGTGGAATACGTTTGTTTCAGTGAGTCTGATCGGGGTTGAGGGTGGCAATGCGACGCGGATCAGCCGGTTCGCCAACTACCTTCGCAACCTGCTACCTTCCAGCGACCCTGTGGTTATGGAGATGGCCTCAAAAGCCATGGGCCACCTCTCTATGGCCGGAGACACCTTTACTGCTGAATATGTGGAGTTTGAGGTTAAGAGGGCCCTGGAGTGGCTGGGAGCAGACAGAAATGAAGGCAGACGCCATGCATCAGTAAGTCACGAGCGCACAACCATGTCTGCTGTGTTTGGTGTCCAAATACCGCCGCTTCTTTGTCATGGTTACGAGGGCAGGCGGTCATCTGTGCTTGGATCGTCTCATTTTGTCGTTGCCTTGTATTCATATATCACATAAACTGTTCTTAATCCTATCTGTTCATAGATCATTGCTTTCCTCATTAACTATGTTTACTTCTAGGCACATTAACTGTCCAATCCAATTAAAGTAAAGTAACTTAAACACCTGAGTCAGATCAGATTGATCTGATCAGATTTTGTTTTGTGCTAAAATACATTTGAATTTAACTTAAGTCCCTTCCTAAACACTGCAGTCAGTAAGAGCCACTCTCTGAGATTGACTCACAGACTGGCTGTTATGAACAGATAAAACTCAAGATGTTTCAGAGTTGATAATATTTCTTTCTATTTTTATATGTCTCCTGCAGATTAGCATCTTTAAGATGTTAAAAGAGTTTCATTCAGACTAAATGCTTTTCAGCAAATAAGGTCTTATTTTAAAATCTCTTCAAATTTAGTGTCCTCGCAAATAGCTGAGTTTGGAAAAGGTAAAAAAAAGGTTGCATTAAGGTCTCATTAAAGGGGTTCTCTGTTTCTTCCAGGTCTTGGTGTTGAGGGAACTGGCTGTGAGTGCGCCCACCTTCTTCTTTCAGCAAGTGCAGCCCTTTTTTGACAACATCTTTTATGCCGTATGGGACCCAAAGCAGGCCATCCGAGAAGGCGCGGTGTCCGCTCTGCGGGCCTGTCTGATCCTCACCACTCAGAGGGAGACGAAGGAAATGCAGAAACCACAGTGGTACAAAGTAAGATGTTTGACTGTATACCGACCGGCAGATCCTTAAGGAATAGTGTCCATCAGTGAAACACCCATCTGCCACCGGACAATGTTCAGTGTTCGTCTTTTGTGTAACAGCAAACCTTTGAGGAGGCAGAAAAAGGCTTCGATGAGACCCTAGCCAAAGAGAAAGGAATGAATCGCGACGACAGGGTCCACGGTGCTCTTCTGATTCTAAACGAGCTGGTTCGCATCAGCAGCATGGAGGGAGAGGTAATTTCAGATTTCTCCGGGGGATGATTCTGACACCAAGAAGCTTAGCATTCGGTTCACCATCTCCATTTCTCTCCAGCGTATGCGGGAGGAGATGGAGGAGATCACTCAGCAGCAGCTGGTCCATGACAAGTACTGCAAGGAGCTGATGGGATTTGGGACCAAGCCCCGCCACATTACACCCTTCACTAGCTTCCAGTCGGTGCAGCCCCAGCAGTCGAACGCCCTTCTGGGCTTGTTGGGCTACAGCACGCCTCAAGGTTTCCTCAGCTTTGGGGCCACACCGGTTCCTGCCAAGAGCTCCCTGGTGGAGAGTCGATACTGCCGAGAACTGATGGAGGAGAGATTTGACCAGGTATGTGTAAGAGCATCGCCTTTTCAGGGATGCAGTAAGACACAGAAAAGCAAACATACCGGACCGTACCACCTGCTGAGAACTCACAAAGTCAAACACATGTGGCATGAAAATGTAATTATTCATTAACTTTAACCTGGTGTCATTTTTTTAAAGATGAGTCTCTTAATTTCATTGACCAGCTAAATGTATGTCTGTGGTTTGCTGAAGGTATAGTTCATGAGATTTGTTTTTAAATCACAGCTCAACCACTTGGATTTTATATCAGTGACAACTCGAACTTGCTCCAACATTGCCAGCTGCCTGATTCACCAGATTAGATATAGATAGCATAGATTTTTGAGGCTGTCCTTTGTCCAACCAGGTGTGTCGATGGGTGCTGAAATACAGGACTAGCAAAAATCCCCTGATCCAGATGACCATCCTCAACCTGCTGCCACGCTTAGCTGCCTTCCAACCACACAACTTCACAGGTGGGGCAAGTAGATATTTCATCAAATCCACAGTTTGACTGAGTGTAATTTGATTTAGAGTAATCTATAGCTATGTGTTTGTATTCATTACTGGAACAAATGTAGTCGTTTTGCAGTGTGGATTTTAGAGACTTTGCGTCGCTGTGATAAAGTGTTTGGTTGATTTATTGTGTCACATTTTATAGAGAGCCCCGTAAGCGAGTTTAATAATGTGCTCTGTGGCTGCCTGTTCCCTGTGCAGACCAGTACTTGTCAGACACCATGGGATACCTGCTTGGCTGTCTGAAAAAGGAAAAGGAGAGGACGGCAGCCTTTCAGGCTTTGGGGCTGCTGGTAGTCGCCGTAAGGACAGAAATCCAGCCCTACCTCTCAAAGATCCTTGAGATTATCAAAGCCGCTCTGCCACCGAAGGACTTTGCACACAAGTCAGTAACTAACAACACTATATTTGATATGTTTTGTAAATGGTGTATAATTATCTTAAGATGCTAGAATGCTTAATGATTTTCATGTTGTGAGTTCTTGACAAATAACATTGTCTTTCTTTTCCTCGTCTGTGTGCAGGAGGCAGAAAACGATGCAGGTGGATGCCACCGTGTTCACTTGCATCAGCATGCTCTCGAGAGCCATGGGTCCCAGCATCCAGCCAGACATCAAGGAGCTGCTGGAGCCAATGCTGGCAGTGGGCCTCAGGTAAGACCGGCCGGTTATTATTTTGGGCCTTTCTGCGAATGATCGCGTAAACCGTCTCCCAGATTCAGTTGTGCTCGTTGTTTTGTCCACTCTCCCTGTCCAGCCCCGCGCTCACGGCAGTGCTGTACGACCTGAGTCGCCAAATCCCCCAGCTGAAGAAGGACATCCAGGACGGCCTGCTGAAGATGCTCTCCTTGGTGTTGATGCACAAGCCGCTGAGACACCCCGGCATGCCCAAAGGCCTGGCTCACCAGCTGGCTTCGCCCAGCCTGACAAACATTCCAGAAGCCAGCGACGTGGGCAGCATCACCCTGGCCCTGCGCACACTGGGAAGCTTTGAATTTGAAGGTAGTAATGATGATAGTAAATAATTCAATCTCTTCCACGAGGCGGATATCCTGACTTCCCTTTTTCTTGTTTCCCCAGGACACTCGCTAACCCAGTTTGTGCGCCACTGCGCCGATCACTTCCTGAACAGCGAGCATAAGGAAATCCGAATGGAAGCAGCTCGCACCTGTTCACGCCTGCTCACCCCCTCCATCCACCTGATCAGTGGCCATGTTGTCAGCCAGACCGCCGTGCAGGTTGTTGCAGACGTGCTCAGCAAGCTGCTGGTTGTTGGCATCACGGACCCAGGTAAAGTATGAGGAGCGTGAAAGGATTGGCCTTGGTGAATTTACCGCCTCTTTTGACTTTTTGTGAGCATAGGAAAGCACAACTGCCCTTCAGCCCATGTCAAGCACTTTGGAACATGAAAATCAGTGCAATTTAATAGTCCAAACACATTTATTTTTTCTTATCCTCTTTCCCCGGTAGATCCTGATATTCGGTACTGCGTACTGGCCTCTCTCGATGAGCGATTCGATGCTCACCTCGCCCAGGCTGAGAACTTGCAGGCGCTCTTTGTTGCCCTGAATGATGAGGTGTTTGAGATCAGAGAGCTGGCCATCTGCACCATTGGACGTCTCAGCAGCATGAACCCTGCCTTTGTCATGCCCTTCCTTCGCAAGATGCTAATTCAGGTAGGAGAGGCACAACAGATGGCCTGCTATTAATGATTTAGTGAGTTAAATGTCCCGTAATGAGCTTTTACCCCATCAGGGGGGAGTTAGCTGTTTAATTGTTCTGCTTCCGCTCAAAAATATCACAAGGACCTTTCCATCTACAGAATGACAAACCCAGAAAGGTCAAAGCCTGCTGTTTGGAAACAGCCAGTAGAATAATGTTCTTCTCAAGTCATTTTTGATGCATTAGTAGACCACTATAACGTGTTGACATGGCTTTATAATTGCTGTTAGATGTCAGATCTACACACATTTTGTGAAACACTTATTTCGCCTGTCCTCCTAATTACATTTAAGCTTTTTCAGTTTTCTGCTGTAAATATTTGTTGGTATTATGTTACAGTAAATGAAGAGGGTTTTGAATCTGTGCATAATAAATTTCCAATAATTATTACACGAGATAGTGCCGAATATATATATATTTTTATTATTATTAAGAATGAAAGTCCTTGTTATATTCAGATCTACAATATCTTGTCTACTTTTTCAGTTGTCTACCTATAGAGGGCAGCAAAGTCCGCTCTAAATACCTCCTGTTTATCATCAGTTTTGCCCTCTTAACATCATAACGTGCACGACAGATATCAATAGGTGTTTTTATGCTGACTGTGTTTATCCTGTGCAGATCCTAACGGAGTTGGAGCACAGTGGCGTTGGCAGGAACAAAGAGCAAAGTGCTCGTATGCTTGGTCACTTGGTCTCGAATGCCCCCCGCCTCATACGACCATACATGGAACCCATTCTCAAGGTAAAACCCTGCAGGCTCGCCATTGTGAAGATGTCTGGGAAAAATACCACTGCGCCCTGGATTTGAAAAGTTTAAAATCAGGCTTTCACCGTTGATGGATGGTTTATTGCGAGTTTTGACGCTACACAGCCGACATCCATAAAAGGGAAAAAAAGGATACAATAATAATAAAAAAGCAACAAAAAAAAAGATTATGTGAGGCGTACCCTCAATCATCACTCATCATGCAGATAAATGGCTCTCTTGACAGTGATATTACACCATCAAACGAGCAGCTCCAGCAGATTTACTGCAGGTTTGGCAGCTGGTCAGCGAACATTTATCTGGGTCAAGTGTCAAAAAAGATAACTGAGAAGCTTGTGTCCCGGCTAGTGTAATGTCCCCCTTGCCCCCCCTTGTCTTTAAAATGAATCGTTTGATGAATTTTAAAGCTGGAAGGTGAATACCAAGATTATGGGACCACCTGTTCTGTTTGCAGGCTCTCATCCTTAAGCTCAAAGACCCGGATCCCAACCCTGGAGTGGTGATCAGTGTCCTCGCAACAATTGGAGAGTTGGCTCAGGTAAGGCTGTCCGACCAGTCTGTGACACTGTGTTAAGTGCTTATGTTTCTCAGAATCATTAAGTGTCGGGTGTTGCTTCACTCATGCATGTTTGCTTCACCTCACCCCTGTTTAGGTGGTTAGGCGGTTCCCAAAGAGGACTCAGGAAAGCACAGAGACAGGCAGGCAGGCTTTGCAGTGCAGACAAAGTGCAGGAGATGCTCAGGCAGACCAAGTGTACACTGATGACTCAGAGCAGGAAGAGGCAAAGGCCCAGCTGTTGTGGAACCAACAAACAAAGACACACCAGCACGTAGGGAATTGCAGATAATGGACACTGGCTGACCTGTCAGCTCGCAAGAATGAAGACTGATTAAATGCTGATGTATGTTTGCCAAGGACAGAGTTGGATGGAGGCAGAAAATACATTTTTCCACCAAAAGGCACGAACCTTCCCTCAGAGTATTGCTACAAATGAATTGAATAACATCAGAAGCAAAAATCATTTGATAGGGAGAAAATGAACTGAAGGGCTATACATTTTAATGAGAAACAGAACATAATGGCTTTCCCTTTCCTTTAGTGTCAGTTGGGTCTGCTGCGTTAAGTTTACTGACACAAAATGACAGACCTGGAGTGTGATGCACACAATCTTGTTTGTTTCTTTTGTATAACGATGCAGAACAATCAGTAAAGTTGATCTGAAATAGCAGATTCTGTTGTCAGTCGCTGGATGATTTCTGTGACTCCAACAGTTTGACTGCTTGTGTGTCTGACATCAGGTGAGCGGCCTGGAGATGAGGAAGTGGATGGATGAGCTTTTTCCAATCATCATGGACATGCTACAAGACTCCTCTTCACTAGCTAAACGACAGGTATGTTAGACAATTCAATATTGGGAACATAGGAATCCAGGGATTGTAAAGGAATAATGATGGTTTGATTACAATGCAAATGAACTGTAACCAAACCCTACACCGCTCAGGTTCTGCGGTGATGGTGTTGTTCAGGTAGAATCTGTCTCTGACTTTCCCCCAGGTGGCGCTCTGGACTTTGGGCCAGCAGGTGGCCAGCACCGGCTACGTGGTGGAGCCCTACCGCAAGTACCCTTCCCTTCTAGAGGTGCTGCTCAACTTCCTTAAGACTGAACAAAACCAGGGTATCAGGAGAGAGGTATGCATCTCTGAAGCTTAACCCTTTGTCTAACTTAGCAACATGAACCCGCTTCTGCCACCTGCACAGATTCTTCACAGTGACACAAATAAGGACTTTCAGCATGACATCGATATATCATTACTTCTGTAGACATATCAGCTTTAAATGTAAAAACTATCCATATAGTTTATTACAGTGTCAAACCATTTCATGTCATTTTGAGGTTCTTCGGCTGTGGTGTCGTCTGTGATTGTTATAAATCTTTATCTGAGGCACAGCTAGAATGGCCTCTCACTCTTCAGGACAGGTTTAGCTGGATGATGATTTTAGTCATTTCCTGAAAGCATTCTAGCGGAATCCCTTCATCTGTTGTTTATGTCATCGTGTTGCAAAAGTGATGTGGAATTGGTAATTTCCAAAGGGTTTATCAGAGCCGTAGAAATATATAGAGATCATGTGAAGACTATATTTTTTAACGAGATTCTTCCATCGGTCGACGTGTTTTTCTACAAATTCTTTCTCAGTCATATATAAAAATATGCTCTTAAAAAGTGCCAGACGGCTCCTTAAATTTCATTCCAGTTTCGGACATGCATGATGTAGTGGTGGATCTGTGTCTCCAACAGGCTATACGAGTGCTGGGCCTTCTTGGTGCTCTGGATCCCTACAAGCACAAGGTGAACATAGGCATGATTGACCAGTCCAGAGATGCCTCAGCTGTCAGTCTGTCTGAATCCAAGTCCAGTCAGGACTCAGGTAGGCCTGTGTTCACTCTGACTAACGGTAGGGAATATTCTCTAACAAAGAGCAACACTGTGGATTGAATTAACTTTTCATATGCATTCCTCTAATTCAGAACAGTATCAACGTTTTAGTTTAACGGCAGGAAAATCTGTCTGATGAATGCTTTTTTAGGGGTTTTAATATATTGAGCTTTAAACTTTATGGGCCTTCGACTTAGATTCATAAGAATGTTATTTGACGAACTTTAAGAGAAAAATAAATGTTTTTCCTATGTTTTTATATGTATTGACTAGTGTCATTAATGAATTTAGGGGCTATCTTTCTGCTGCAAATCCATAAATTGATGCGTTCAGAGCATCAGTCACTTTGTTTTAAATGAACCTAAAACTAAATGTGCTCACGGCAGTCTTATTGTATTATTGCATTTGGCTTTGCAACATAATCCATGATGCTCGAGTTGATAGATGCTGGTCAAAATAAATACCACCATTGAACCTGTAACAATGGTCTCTGGAGGAAGGGGAAGTGATGCCAATTCAGCTCTCAGGTGAAATCTTAGCAGAAAAAAGTGAAACGATTAAATGAAACTATTGTTGAAGAAATGTGTTATATTTTTCCACCTGCTATTGTGAAGATAAAGGGAAATGGCGGAATTTTGAATACAGAAATAATTGTGGAAAATGATGAGCTCAAAGAAACTGCAATCAGGCAGTTACATAATAATTACAGCCGGCCTACGTACATGTCACCACATCTCTACATAGACCAAAATAGAGCTGCTTTCCAGAGGCACGGTTTGTCTGCAATCATATGAATTGTTTAATCTGGCTAGCATAAACCACTTAAACCTGGTCTTTCTGAAAACATTTACTTACAGTTTGGCTGTTGAACATTCAGTAAATCTGCAGCTCATCAGAAATGTGAGCACAGTGAGGTGATATGCCTCCACAGCCAAGACAAAGCACAATTGGTCAAAGTCTTAATCCTACATTTGAAAAGTCAACAGCGTGTCTAGGTTTTACGATTAATTGAACTTTCATTCCATGGAATCTTATTTCTGACTCTTGTGTGATCTAAACCCAACTGAATATCTTGGTAAATGAAACCCCTACAACAGGCCTTTTTTTCATGTGGAGGTATTAGTTTAATTAGTTGGTCATTTTTATAATATTTTTTGTGTGGGAGAAAAGGATACTTGATATAGATTTTTGGTTTGTTAGCTGTAAATATCGTGAAGAACAGTGAGCTGCAATATTTGTATTTCATTTCCTTTTTACTGTGACTAACTGCAAAGACTATCCAGGTGTTCAAGAAGCTCTGACAGGAAATTTCATGTCATCATGCTTTCACTGTCCTGGATATCTTAAAAACGTGATAATGACTCAGAAAGGACATCTGTCTTTGGTCATGTGTGTTGAACCTGCAGATCTGTGCCTTTTCATTTTGCCTTGTGTCTCAAAATTTGACCTTGAACAAGATGGTAATGGTTTTACCAGTTTGTCCTCGCTCTAAATGGACTGTGACCAGAACTGGAGGTTGTATATCTGTTGGCGGAATTGTCAGGGTCACTGTCTGGAGCACTGGTTTGTTTAACAGTGTGTTTTGTTATGAGAGACAATCATCTCCTCACTTGACTTTAAATCACACTGATCGCAAAGGAAAAACTTATTAAGGACCGTATACTCACTTGTAGTAAGTCATAATACTTCTTTTAGGGGTGCTCTAATGACTGGGGAACTTTTTTCCCCTGTACAGCTGAAGGGCGAATTACTAAAGTGCTGCTGCCCCACTACAGCCTGTTTGTGAGCTGTAAAGTTGCAGATGTTAAGCCATCTATCACACTTGTTTATCTTTTTATTGGGTGAAGATTGAAATAATAAAAGATCCAACTGTAGAGCTGCTTATTTAGGTCTAACAAGTAATGTCTTCTGGGTCTGTGGGGAGGCAGCTGGAGCTGCTGAGACTGTACTGCAGAGTGAAACGCTCAATACCAGACATCTGCATTCTCAGATGCCTTGTAAAATTCAATAGCCCTGCATAGATAAATGGACGAAAAGATTCCATCTGTATTTTCTGTCACAAAGATACTGTAGAAAATACTTTTTTCTCCATCTCAGAAATGAAATCGTTGGCAGCCTAACGTTGGAATTCACTCGACCATCTTTAATATTTCATCAATGAGTTTCCACTTGATTTGGCCAGCCTGTGGTAAAAGGTGTGGGGGCAAAATAATATTTATTTTTTAATTTGTTTTAGTAGAGCGGAGAAATAGCAACCCCCTACTGTTGCTGAGGTGCTTAGAATTTGATGGCTGTTGATATTTTTCCTCTGCTGTATCATTAGTCTAATCACACATCTTTTAAAGCAAATTCAGTTACAGTTAAAGCTGAATTTGTAGTCATGGCATAATCACCAATAGTTGTGGTCCTTTGCTCAGATTACAGCACAATCAATATCATTAGTTTGTAGAAAGGTACCGGACTCATAGCCATGATGTGTTCTCCTCCCCCAGCGGACTACAGCACCAGTGAAATGCTGGTGAACATGGGCAACCTGCCTCTTGATGAATTTTATCCGGCTGTAGCCATAGTCACTTTGATGCGCATTCTGAGGGACCCGTCGCTCTCCAACCACCACACCATGGTTGTCCAAGCGGTCACCTTCATCTTCAAGTCTCTGGGCCTGAAGTGCGTTCAGTTCCTCCCGCAGGTTATGCCAACCTTCCTCAACGTCATCCGCGTCTGTGATGCCAGCATCCGAGAGGTAGGTGGCCACCTCTCCCAGAGACCGTCAGCCTAAAACTCCTCTTGGTAAGTTGTTCATTAGCTAGGTTTTAAACTCCTCTCTTTCTCTGTGTTCTTCCAGTTTCTCTTTCAGCAGATGGGAATGGTGGTGTGCTTTGTGAAGATCCACATCCGCCCGTACATGGACGACATCTTCACCCTCATCAGAGTGAGTGACCCTCTGCCCCCATCGGTCACCCAGCTGCTCCTATTTTGCGTTAGGCAGGCGATCAGTTGGAAAAACTCAAATACGTCCAGTTGTACTTTTGACACTTTCCATAAGAGGTAATGTGTTCAGGGACCCCGGTGCAGCAGCACGCAGCCTGTTTGGTGTTCAAATCAACTCACATTACCATGCTGCTGGCCTCAGGGAATCAGATATTATTTACATTTTACTCTCCGTTGTTTACAGCCACACTTTCTGGCTGTAACGCTAGACGTGGCCACGAGGGCTGTTTTTATTCAACAATTGGAAGCAGCTGAGCGCTCATGACACGCAGCCCCGGTCACCTGACGGGATGCAACTGCTAAAGCCATCGTCCCCGCGCTCGCACAGAAACGCTCGTCTGGCACATAAACGCGCAGCATGGCCGAACTATCATGTGACTGTTTTTGTGTCAGCATCATGGTAACACTTGCTCTCAAACTTTTTACTGATGGAAAGTAATCCACGGTACTAAACTGCTGGGCTCCGCAGTCCCAAAGAGTTAATAAATGGCGAGTGAAACAAAGAATCCATTCATTTCTCCACTCCAGTGCAGCTCCCGCATCCAGATGAGGGGGCTGGTATAGCAATTCAGGATGTATTCTCACTTGCTCTGCAGTCAGCTGCCGCAGGCAGGGAAGGCAGGAAGTTGGGGGATGCGTGGCATCTCTGGTAACTGACAAAACACTTTTGCCAGATCTCACAGCTGAAGCCCGTTGACTGATTGACGGATTTCGTGACTCGAGGCCCTCCGCCTTAACGACCGTTCCAGTTTTTTTCTAATGTGCGCTGCGGCAATGTCTAGATTTTCTCAAACGATGTCATAAGCAACAGGAGTCCATTTGAGAGGAAATTGCCCCCATTCCTCGCCATGTAGAGCTGGGATGCTCTCTCTGTGCTTCTGGCGACTTAAAGCTTCGTAAATGGAGAGAAAAGTCTGTCCAGACATTTCTCTCACACTCACCTTATTGATGGAAACATTTTGACCCACTTTTGCAGACCCACTTAAATTTCAGAACTATAATGGAACAGAGCAGATGAGGTAGTGTTTTGTGCTAAGTGTTTTAGACGTACCGTCCTCATAAAAGAACAACTCAGGGTTTGGTGACGGCATATACTATGCTGTGGCCAAAGTAAAAAATAACGGAATAGAAATTCATAGATGTCATTCAGCTGTTGTGAAAAAATAACTAACCATATATAGAATAGTTATTAAGGGTGTAATATTTCGGCTTAACATACCTTAATTAAAACAACAGGAAAGCTGTTGGTGGAAATTACAGGACGGGTTCTGAAACATTTTTTTCAGGAGCTCCGTCGTCACAGTTGTTCAAAGGATTGTTCCCAGTCAGCGGTAGTTAACACTTTAGGGATTCACACAACTTCAAGAAAAGATGAGCAGAAGCAGAAGTAATGATCGTAATCAAACTGTAGGAAACCAGCTAAAGGAAATGGGATCTACATTCAGAAAAGCTGAAACCTATCACCAAAACATAAAACAGAAGAAAACAAGGGCAGAGTGGTGTGATCTTAAGGGATGAGTCATTAATCTGCATCAGACATGTTCAACAGTCCAATGAGCCATAGAAAAATTATGATGATGATGACGCTGATATAGGATTAATATCTGATAGAGGAATAAGAAAGAAGGATGTCATTAGCCCTTTAATAAAGGCAGAAGCCCTGCAGGTCTTTATCTTATATAAACTTAAAGACTCTGAAGTCACTTATCAGGTTGATAGTTAATTTTTTCCACGCAGCAAAGATCGTTGAAACTTTTCTTCAGAAAAAGGACAAATGAACAGAATACAGGCCAGTGAACAGCCTGAATCTCAGTCGGATCCAAGAGTGATGGAGAAAATTGACTTAAACTGTCAGGAGATCACACAAAGTACGAACGGTGGAATTTTTTGCCTAATTATTTCATCAACCTTCCTCATGATTGTTTAATCCCTCCGTTTTTCCTTGTTCTTGGTCTGAAAAGAAAGGATATATTTGCAAAGCCAGAATGTCTTCTGTTAAATGAAACAGTTTTTCTACAAACCTATTTTTGTAACAAAAAAAACTGGTGAATGAACCTCCTTCAGTAGTAATGTGCCACAAGGTAAAATAGAATTTTTGTCAGAAAGATTCAGAAGCTGAAATCACAGAACTGATATGAAAGATAATTTTTATTATCAGGAATAAAGCTGCTCAAATCATGGGGGCTTTATGATGGTGCAAAAATCCCAACCAGAATTGTCTTTCATTGGATTTATTGCCGTCCCCAGTAGAGCTGTAATACAATTCGTCCCCTCAAAAGAGCCCACAGATAGGAAGAATTGAAAGAAATGATGCAGAAATAATCTGAATTAATGCCAACATATTGCGCTCTCTTCTAGGAGTACTGGACACCGAACAACCCCATGCAGAACACTATCATCCTTCTCATTGAGCAGATTGTGGTGGCGTTGGGTGGAGAGTTCAAACTCTATTTGCCACAGCTCATCCCGCACATGCTGCGCGTGTTCATGCACGATAACAGCACCGGCCGCAGCGTGACAATCAAGGTGAGCCCACTCTGATCTATGGCACCTCTCTATTGTGACCAAAGTAGTTGATTTGTCTCCTATTTTCAGCCTTTGTTCCCGGGACTGCAGATAAAAACATTACCCGTGACACATCAAGGTTTGAGGGATAGTCAGCCGCAGTGACATTATAAGTGAATGAATCAGCAGTGAGAGATGGAACATAAACATAAAAAATAAAAAAAATGAGGGAGGAAAAAAAGGTATCAAGGTTAAACAAAACAGAATCCAATTTATTAAGGCTGGAACTGGAAACGTGGTCACACCTCCGTCTGAAATGGCCTCAAGAAAAAAATGTGACAAATGCGAATATGTTGCCAGTGGCTACTAAAAGTGTGTGTGGTAGAGTGCTTGAGTCTTTTTCAGGAGTTATTCCAGGAGAGACGTGCTTTATGTACCCATAAACTGTGATTCATGCATTCTGTGGCTTTCTTTTTAAACAATCTAACTGGAGATTTGTGTTCAAATATTGTCTCCAGCCTTTTTTCTAACTGGCACAGATAAGAAATATTTGATTTTCTTTATATTTATTTGATAATGAGTTCAGGGAATGTATAATTGCATTAGCATCTGTGTTGCCCTTTTTTTTTTTACTGCCTTCTTATTTGGTGGTTTGCATCTGTTCTTCTACTGTTTGGCCCCCCTCGCTTTTTGCAAATTCTGCTTTTCTTGTTGCATGCAAAAAAAGTCGTAAAGAACTGACACATCCTGTTTAAAAATGAAAAAAACATTGAACACGTAGAAAAGTACAGAATTCAAACATACCCTCCGGAAATCTTTGCATTAGAATTCTCATAGCTTAATACGCCATAAGGAAAATGCTCTCTTTTAGATTTGTTTTTAGAGGTCATCAGCAGTCGCAAAGACCCATGCAGAATTTACATAATGGGGCCTAAAATATGCGCTGTGTGCCTGTGCATTAGAATACCAAGTGTCTTCGAAAACAGGCCGTAATTGATGGTGCTACTAACAGCAGCTCCCTCTTAGTGGAGCGCCCCCCTAAAAGGTGTTTCTTAATGAATTTTTGTCAGCCAGAGGTGCCTGCTCAGCGTGACACCTGAGATCTGCGCTGACATAATGTGACGTGTCCCCCGTCATAAATCTTGTCTTGAAAGCACAGTAGCTAGATGGGGAAGCTCATATTTCAGATTTTAGTCAATAAATTCACTTTGCTATTGCTGCCAAGAAGACGAGTGTTTAAAAAGCACTCCCATCACTCAGAACTCTCGCCGGCGGCGCGGCCCACCGCTGACTTATCGGGGCGCTGGTTTCTGTTTGCGGTCTCCACCCGTATTCATCCAGACCATTCAGTTTTAATCCATTTCCGTGTAGTACGTCAGTTCAAAGACAACAAAGACCTGTATGCAGCACGCTCTCTGGTTTCAGCAGCTGCCGCCAGCAGTTGTCAGAGTTCTGCCTCAAACCCTAAATCATCGTTTGGGCACCGACCACAAAGACGAAAATCAGAAGAAGTAAAGTCATCTATTCTTCTCCTCTTTGATGCCTCTCTGTCCCAGCCTCTGCAGCATTTCAGAATTCAGCAGTCCACAATCTGGATAGTCTATAACTCAGCTCTGAGCCCGGAGCCTAAGCTTTAGCACAGAGTGGGGGTCATGAAAAAGGGGAAGCAGGATTTGGATTGCTTTCTGGTCCCCCCCCCAAAAAAGGAAAGAAAAACACACTCTCATCATCTCAAGGAACTGTTCAGCCGGGCGCCCCCCACATAAATACTTGTACACCTTCACCTCAGCTTCCTGCCGTCTCGCCGTGTGCACATTAGACCCAGAGCTGGAGGTCCGTGGAGCAGAAGTGATCATAGTGTGCTTTGGGGGCCAGGGCTATTGAGTTTTTTTTTTTCAGACCCCCATGTTTCCACCCACCACATGCTCCGCAGAACCTGATTTTTATTGTTAGGTCACACTTCAGACACCTTTCCCAAAATTGTATACTCTTGAGGGGTAAAATGTGCGTTATTATTTTCCTAAGAGCTCAGATCCATTGTCGTGCTTTTTTTTTTTTATTGGTATGAAAGCCTGGGAAGCCATGTATTTTTAATCTGTCATTTCTAAAACTGACAGATTTTGGATGGCTGGAAACCGCACACTTTGCAACTTTTCTTTCTTTGCTAATTAAAACAGGCCTGTTAGGAATAAATCACATAGTCTTTTTTAGCAATTTTTTTAGGTAAGTGGTGGTTTTACAGTTTTGATTATGGCCCAAAACCGCAGGTGAAGACAACTTGTGCTATGCCGAAACATAAAAGACGCTGCCGGAACAAGAGCTCGTTCGGGCTCCTCAATAATTAAACCCTCCTGCTCTCCTTTAGGTGCACCTGAGGAAAACCACGACGCCATAAAAGTTAATTAAGACAACTTCCCAACTGAATTAGTTGTCTTTGCTTTGTCTTCCAGCTGCTCAATGCCATCCAGCTGTTCGGTGCCAACCTGGACGACTACCTCCACTTGTTGTTGCCCCCCATAGTCAAACTGTTTGATGCCACCGACGTTCCCCTGCAGGCCCGCAAGTCAGCGCCACACACGCTCCTCCACTTTGTTTGTTTGTTCATTTGTTTGTGCATTTGGCCGACGCTTTTCTCCAAAGCGACTTACAAAGTCGCTTTGAAAGTCTGATCCCGTTCCTTAACGGCCCCACCGTTTGTTCAGTTGCCAGAAATGCCAGTGAAGTTGGCCATCGGTTCAAAAACCCAATTAGATCAGCCTCGTGATTTTAGAAAAAATATCCGGGATTTATCAGTGGTGGAAAACGTAACTACGTTTTTCTGTTACTGTTAGAAAAAAAAAAAAGAACAGATCATTATTTCAGCTCTTTCATAAGACTCTTGGGATTTTGAGTTGTAAGGCTTTTGTGCTGCCTCATGTCTGTCTCTGCCCTTAACATATTCAAGTGAAGTGGAGCATTTTCCTGTTTTTGTCTCTAACTCAGGGTTGCCTTGGAGACACTCGACCGGCTGACAGAGTCTTTGGACTTCACAGACTATGCTTCACGCATTATCCACCCTATTGTTAGGACACTTGACAGCACTCCTGATCTGCGTTCTACCTCTATGGACACCCTGTCCTCGCTGGTGTTCCAGTTGGGAAAGAAGGTAGCCTCATCCGTCCCTCGGGCTTTCCTTTGTAGAGTAGCTTTCCTACTGTTGGCTTCACAGGAACTGCATACTTGTAACCTTCATCCCCCCGGTCTCTGTTATTTCCTGCCAGACTGCTTATGTCACTGACTGTTTGCCAGCAGGGGGTGGTGTTTATGAGACTGGATGAGGTCATATTTACCCTTGCCTCTCCCCACAAGCCTGCCACATCTTAACCCTACACCTTTGTATTGTTCTGAGGTCTAACCTCAGAACCACCAGCCCCGCTTCTAGCCATGCCAACCAACAAACACTGAGCAGACGCTTTTGATCTTAAGTCTCTAAGAGGCTCGGTAGTGCTGGATACCCAATTATTTACTTTATGGCGAAGGAAAGGACATATCCACACTCAACCACATAAAGCACATGTGCACTTTTTATTTACTTTCCTGTCCTTCCCTTTTATTTTCAGTACCAAATCTTCATTCCTATGGTGAACAAAGTCATGCTGAAGCACAGGATCAATCACCAGCGTTATGACATACTCATATGTCGCATCGTCAAAGTAAGTCATCTTCAGATTGGCCTGTGGTGAAGGTCAGCTTTACACTGATTTCCTGAACGCCCCATGAATTCCTGAACGTTGGATTGTGATATGCTTCTCTAGGCCGAAACGGTTAGGCATGAATTCACATAATCCTAGAATAAACATTTTGTGTACAATGTTCCATAACATTGTACAATATCCTGTTTATCTACACATCCTTTGGAGGGAAATGTTCTTCTATGTCCATAAAAATCTGTTTTGATGGTTGACTCCACCGGTAACGTGTGTGGTCTGTTTGCGTGTGGCCGGGGTGTGTGTGTGTTTGTGTGTGTGTGTTTGTGGCCATCGTAGGGTTATACTCTGGCAGAGGAGGAAGAGGACCCTTTAATCTTCCAGAATCGCCAGCTACGCAGTAACCAGAGTGATACTCTGGTCAGCGGGCCCGTGGAGGCCGGCCCAATGAAGAAGCTACATGTCAGCACTACAGCACTCCAGAAGGTCAGAGGGAACACATTGGCGTTTTTCTTCGAAGATTGAATTCTTATTTATACCCCCAAGGCGACAGATGGCACACACAAGCTCAGAGTTTGTTTACTGGTTTTGCTCGAAGTGTTGAAAACTGCACTCAGTAAACTGTACCGAGTACTCTGGGTTTAATCCTGTTCATGGCCTATGGATCACAGATCAATGACAAATGAAAAAGAAGGCAGATTCTTACTTGTGGAGTTTGAGTGATAATAGATATAATGGCATTTTTGTTCTGCAGTGACCTCGGTTTGTTGTCACACCGTTTTCCTCAGATGCTGCCAAACGCAAAAAAAGGGAGTCATTGGTAGAATTGTGTTGATTTTAGTTGCTCCATTAGATGACCTATAAAATGTTTTGATGCTGGATCAGCTCACACACGTCAACTCCCGACACTCAAGTCTGGAGAAAGCGACGTCCCCACGCAGTTCTCAGCGATGTCTGTAACTGATTTCTCTCGCGGTGCAGGCTTGGGGTGCAGCTAGGAAGGTTTCCAAAGACGACTGGCTGGAGTGGCTGAGGCGCTTGAGTGTCGTTCTGCTCAAAGAGTCTTCTTCTCCAGCCCTGCGGTCGTGCTGGTCACTGGCACAAACTTACATCCCTCTTGCCAGGTACACCACTACTCTCTGGTCTTCTTCTCGAGCCACACTTTCTGCTCCCACAAGCCCACTTTATTTCTGTCTGTTCTGCTATGCTTCACATTTACGATCAGCCCGAGCAGCTAAAAGCATTTACATGGAGGAAATGTGTGGCCATGTTTTCGTAAGGCCGTGGCAGCCAAAATTTATTTTTGAAGTTCTAAATATCTCACTCTGTTGATGCTTGATCTTTGGTCTGCACACAATTGTTTTAATGTGGAAATGGCTTACTTTGCCCCACAGAGACCTGTTCAATGCTGCCTTCCTGTCTTGCTGGTCTGAGCTGAGTGAGGACCAGCAGGATGAGCTCATCCGCAGCATCGAGTTGGCGCTCACCTCCCAAGACATTGCCGAGGTGACACAGACGCTTCTCAACTTGGCAGAGTTCATGGAGCACAGCGACAAGGTAAGCAAGGGACAAAATTAAATCCCAGGAGCTCCGCAGTGTAATTTAGGCTCAACGATTAAACAAAACTGCACGTCAGGTGCATTTTTTCAAATTTCATTCAAGTTGTCCCCCTGAATTGATTCCGAGTCGATGAAACATGGGCCCAGCTATCTGCAGGAGAATGACAAAATCAATTAAAATTTTCAGAACTGCTGCACACACAAGAATCGGATAGTATTTGCATTCGTGTGCCTGCATAGTGAGTGGAATGACTTGGACACCTGTGATGTTTGATTTTTCAAAAGATGCTGCCTTCACCAACAACACAAACAAGGGGAAAACCGAGAACTGATCCCACAGAAAAGCTCCACTGTGATCAGACCATTTTGTTTAAGAAGGTTTTAATGATGAAAAGAGGGCTTGTAGCTGACACAAAGTGGTCATAAGTGTAGCTGTACCCTCATTTTAAGAAGGTATTATTTGGCCTGCACTGGGATTCATTATAAATTCAAACAGTTAACACATCGTTCGATTGTTTCAGAAAACGTAGACGCTAACACTTAAAGCCACAGCCACTCTTTGTCATTGAGGTGTCACTGAACTACTCAAAGATTAACGGCGCGAGCGTTTCCAGATGGGAATTTTCCCCCACTTCTCTGTTTGGCCACACATGTTGAGCAAATCAGCAATGATACTGTTACTTTTGGGACTGAGACTCTCATGGTTTGGTCATTATTTAACATTTAAGCAGGGACCCCTTGTTGCGAGGCTTCAGTTCAGTGGAAGCACATATAAAATGTGCCTGTCTGTGCCAGTTAAAATAACAGCTTTAGCTACTAATTACTATTTGAGCACATTATAGATCACAGACAAGTGTTCAGTAACTTGTAATTGGAAAATAAAACCTCGGTTATTTTATACACACTGTTTCCTTTTCCAGGGCCCTCTGCCCCTCAGAGACGATAATGGCATCGTGCTGCTTGGTGAGAGAGCCGCCAAATGTCGTGCCTATGCCAAGGCGCTGCACTACAAAGAGCTGGAGTTTCAGAAAGGTCCCTCTCCTCTCATCTTGGAGTCTCTTATCAGGTAGGAGGCTTAGATTGTAAGAAATAAAGATCTCGATTTGATTAGGACCGGCCTTTGTAAACTTTGTAAGAGGTCTACATCACAAAATCTAGCTGCAAACAGCAAGCACACATTTGAATTTACCAGGAATGGGGCAAGTTCAAAACACTGTGTTTAATGGTGTGCTGTAACTTATTTGCTTGCGCTTGTGAAAGTCTGTCAGCAATAAACAGGCCGTGCTTTTGAGGTCATTGTTAAAACAAACACACTCCACTCTCATATTCCAGATAGAAGTGAAAATAATATCACGCACATCATCTTGCCCAACAACTCTTCGATATCTTCTGTCATCTTTTCCATCCCATTTTCTCATTCTTTTTCATTTCTGTACCTTTGGCATGGAAGTGAGAAATCTGTTTTCCAGGCATCTAATTGGACACTTGCCTCCTTTTCATCTACGAGTGTCTGGGCTTGTATTTCTCTGGGGCCTGTTTTCAATTTCTCGGGAGCCTTGATGATGATGAATGATGGGAGCCCGCACTCTGGTGTTATCCCCATCTGGTTCTCACCTCTCTAGGATTTCCCATAAAAGATTCAGACTCATGTGTGCAGAAACTCAGCAGAGGTCTTGCTTTACTTAGTCGTGGTCGTGTCAGAAAAAATGTGTTCAGATCTGCCGTCGCCGTTCGGATGACGAGGAAGCGTCTACTCGACGTGAGGCGTCGTGTTCGAAGACTTATCATTATTTCAGGAGGTGCTGTCGCTGTTCCCGATACGTCGTTTTCGTCAAAAGCCAGTTTTTTAGATTAGCAAACACACTGAGATTGAAAGCAGTTTAAATAAATAACCTTTAAGGATGAGTAAGAAATGAAAGAAATTTGTTAAGCTTTAGACCATTGGATCAAATTAAAGATTTTCTTAATCGTTTTATACTATGGGCTCACTCTGGTAATTGGGCTTTGGGGCTCTGGTGTTGGTGTTTTTGCTCCATAATTTGGTGTCTCTTACTGATTCTGTAAGGAAGCCATTTGGTTCAAATCGTAGAACTTCATTTTTCACTGGCAGCTGGGTAAAACCTGTGTGATGCGTATTGTAAGTGTTAAGTTAAGTGTAAGTTAGCTGCTCTGAAGTTGCCTTCCTACATGTGAATTTGGTGAGTCCATTCCATCAGTAGCAGCTGGAGCTAAGCATTGTGGGCCATGTGCTAATGATATATGTGTCGGTGTCGTGTTGCCTGGAAATGGAATTTTCAATAGAGTTGAATATGTTCAGATGTGAGCGGTTAAATAACACCTTATCTTATCCCAGGCAGCAACAGTGGAGCATTTAGGCATTATTATACCACTTGAGTGCTCAAATGGACCTAATGCCTTTGAGTAGGAGAGGTGAAAAAGGGAAGGTTATTATCTCGGCTTCTCACAAAGAATGTGAACCGTCGAACATTTCGTCCATTAGCCCTGTATGGCTGGCTTTTCACAGCAAACCTGTAAAAATAGTTTAATTCACTTCTAGCCAAGTGAAAAACAGAGCCCTCAAAATTTGCCCTGTAGTCAGGTCCAGAGCTATTCCGGAGGTAAGTATCTCATGCAGTATCATCACATTCCAGTTGACCATAAAAGTCAAGATGTGCAGACTTCACATTTCATGTGAAATCTTCATTTCAGGGGGAAAAAAAGTCAGGTGAACGTGCTTTTTATTTCATTCCATTTTCACTGGACATTTTTCATGAGTCTGTGGGTTTCATTTTGCTCAAGAAGCCCAGATGTAAACTCACACTCACCTTTACACACTGTCGTTGCTGAATAGTAATGATGCTTTGGGGTGCCTCGTACTCACCTTCAACTGCCCCCGAATAAAAAAGAAATGCCTTTCATACACAGCAGCTTAGTTTTCTAAAGAAAACATCAAAATTCCTCCTACTCAGGCTGAATTTACAGCAGTAATAAGTGTCCGCCGGTGCCTAAGGTTGGATTTTCTTGTTGGGGGAACTCATTTTGATTCTGGACTCTTATTATTGTAGTTTACTAGCATCCTTGTTTTGTTCCCTGAGGTCGACTGTGGTCAGTTCTGCCAAAGGAACGAGATAAACCTTCAGCATTAGTTATTTTTCCCCGACTGAAAAGTGGCACCTTGTGAAAAAAGGTTTATCAGACCATGGAGCCCCTTAAAGACAGCGCTCACTGTCTGTTGGTATTTGTGTGCTTGTGCGCTTAAAGGAATTCTTTGTTGGCTTAAAGGATCATAAAATGGTCTTATGGATTTCTAAGGCTTTAACAAGATGGCAGAGTAAAGAGTGTGTGTGGTCCTCACACATTTATTTGCGCCATGGGACCTTTTGGACAGGAACTCGAGAGATGACCTAAGTGTTAGAGGTTAGTTTCTCCAAGCAAATATGTGACTGGACATGAACGGACAGAAGAACCTCTTTTGCTTTCTTAGATGTTGTAATGATGGAGTCTTGTGAAGACGGGCTGTGTGCTCGGTTTCTTTTAAAAATATTTTATTTTCTGTCACATCAAACAACATAATTAAAGAGCTGTACACATTTTACAAACGACACATTTCCATCATGAACGTGGAGGGTTTTACAAAAAACAAACTTTCTTTTGTGGTGGTTCATTTCCAAACCGCTCATGCCACTCAGAATGATTCATAGCTCAGCCAGAACAGTTTAGTTTGTGTTAACCGAAAATACATCCTATTGCTAAAGTGACAAATGAAAAAAATAATAAGGTTCCAGTGGCCCCAAAAGGACGTTGGTTAAAAACATCTATCAAAGCCTTTAAAAAATAAAAATATTTTACCGATAAATACACAAAATTAGCTACAATTTACAATCAAACTCTGTAAAGTCATTACACATTCATCTGACCGAAATCTAAGAAAAAAAAACAGCCATTTCATTCCTTTCGCAGTCAAGGGAAAGCCATGATCGGGTTGGGCAGGTACTCAGGAGCTTTCTGGACGTCTCCGGCCGAGGCTCTTATGGCTGAAAACCCACCGGCCGGACCTTCATCTCCACCCGCTTCAGGGAGTAGTTGGGGCCATGCCAGCCGTACCAAGTGATCCCGTCCGTGTTCTTCGTGTGCGCGCCGTAGCGGTAGAACACGCCGTTCAGGTTGGAGTCCGTGCAGCAGTTGTACCAGTAGCCCCCTGGGAGAAGAGAGGAGGGGGAGGGGAGGTGGTTAGACGGGCGATCGGGGCAGAAATGGCTGCGGTCAGCCTGCTGTCGGGGCCTCACCTTTGCGCAGCGCGGCGCAGTGGTCCACACATTTGTCGTTGTCCTTGTTGTTGGTGCTGAAGTTGGTGTTGTTGTGGTAGCGGAGGGAATCTCCGGCGTTTCCACTATAGTTGGCCAGGAGCAGCTTGAAGCTGTTCAGCTCATTACCCACAGTGAAATAGCCATACTCCGCATAGCGTGTCTCTCCCTGCCAGTCCTACATCGGAAAACACACATGACATCATTCGGAGGCCGAGGGGAAACCGAGAGTATTGGCTCTCGCTTTGCACAAGGGGCAGATTTCAGATTTCTAAATATACTGAAGGATGCGAAACTGGTTCATCTGTGTTTCTGCCTCCGTACGTCTGGCTATGAAACGGTTCATGCATGGTTTGCTCCCCCCGCTGCCAGAGCCCGGGGCTACATGACTACCACACATACCTCCATCTCAATCCTGAGCACACTGGGCTGCCTCGTTAGGCGGAAGATGTGGTCATTACCCAGCCAGAAATCCCCACGGATGGACCCGAATCCATTTTTGTACTGCTTCCAATCACGGTTGAAGGACGTCAGGCCAACTTTGCGCCTCTGAATCAAAGTCCAGCCGCCGCCCTGCGTCTCCATATCACAGTAGACCTGGGAAAGAAAGGGGGGGGAGTCATTTCCCAGATTGCAATGGGAGGATCGGCAAGCTCCGCGCACACGTTTGAAGTCCCAACTTACACTGAGCTCGGGGGCACCCAGAAACTCATCCTTGGGCAGTTTGTACTCGCCAGAGATCCTGTAGTTCTTGCTGTAGAGTGATGCGCAGTCATAGATGGCATCTGGAAAGAAGAGAGCGTATCAAGTATATTCTTAACCCATCTGTAGTTTCATGAGCATCGTCTGGAAACGTGACTGCTCTAAAATCTAACTATCTGCATATTTGAGCGACTTGACAGATGAAAAATGTCCCTTTCAGCCACTGTAAAAGATAAAAAAAAGAGTCTTATCGGAGCTTGGTGATGCCAATAGAAGGGCCCAAAGCATAAGGAAACCTTCTACTCGCTCTAATCTGTGCATCCCTTCCTGTTCTGCTGGCCCTGATTAACGTTAAGATTTAAGTTTAAAGAAGGCCTCTGTTCGCTCTGCCTCTGTGATAAACTCTGGCTCGGTTCAGGAATGGGATCAGGGAGCGACGTCATGCCCGGTAAACGTCTGTGCAGCAGCCAGCGGTGATTAGCAGGTGTGTGGACGCCCGGTGGAGCAGGAGGGAAAGATATGCCTTTGATGGAGCCATTTATTGAGAACCCCGCAGATGGGACTCCGCGGCACCAAATTAATACTTTTTACTGTCGGGCAGCTCAGTGTGTGCACTGTAATCAACCCCTCGGCTCATTCACAGGAGCTCACCGGGAGTCAGAAAGCAGCAGACGAGGCTGATTATAGTACTTGGTAGCTAAAATAAATACACGATTCGGTTTGGGCATTTGAGAAGCGTTCACATTCTGGAGAGATGACAGACCGTGTGCAGACTGCCTCAGAAATAAGCGTTTTTACTAAAGGAAATAAACGTTGATGCCGAAACTTAGACAGACCGTTAAAAAAAAAAAAAAAGTCGGAAAAACTTTGTTTTTTAGGTCTGATTTTCTATGTGGTAACGGTGTTAATAGTTGCAGTTTTATCAACAGCTGCTGTAGAAAGTAAGACACATCTAATCACACATCGTTTTCACCTAATTTGAGCATTTTTCAACTTCTTTCAACATCTGTTTTTGTGCAGATGCATGGAATTTCGAGCAGAGCAATTGGAATAATTCTATGCTTTGACAGATCTAAAGATAAGGCTGTCTCGGCCCTCCGGCCATCTTAACGGAGAGCTCACCTGATGAGGTCTGGGTCGCCGACTGGAGAGTCTGCAGCTGCATGATCTCCACTCGGTTGTTGATCTCCGAGTACTTGCTCTCGGCCTCTGTGACCCGGGCCTCCTGCTGCCGGTTCTGCTGGTCCAGCTCCATTATTTGCCTCACGATGCTCATCAGGTCGCTCTCCTGCTTGCGGCCGAGCTCCTCGAGGAGGCTGGTCAGGTTGGCCACCTGGACTTTGAGCGAGCGCACCTCGTCGCAGCACTGACCCTTAGGGGGCTTCGGGGGGGCCAGCCTCTTCCTGGGGTTCTGGGCCCAGGTCTCGGCCACCAGGAGCAGGGCCACCCCTAAAGTCACCATCACCAGATTCATTTGAGTCATTTCGACTTGTAGAAGTTGTCAGTCTCTCCGCAGGTTTTTGGCGTTTCTTAAATGGCCTTAAGGAAGGTCAGCTCCTGCCTGTCTGAAAATGTCAAAGAGGGCTTCTGGAAGCGTCGGCCGGTTTAGCTGAAGCTCCCCTTTTGACCAGCAGCTCACTCGCAGTCGCTTTTATTTCTTCAGTGAAGCCCTCCTCTGCCCGAGCATCTTAAATATTTTGCACAGGGGTCCTCCCCCTCTCTGCTGGTGTTCACCAGACGTGCTGCTGACCCTCTCCAACCCTGTGGGCGGAGGACTTTTTTCAACCCTTTTCCTCCTCTACGTCAGCCCCTCATCCTACTTTCACTCGTGCTGCAGAGGTTTTGCCCACGTTTCTTCCTTTTTTTTTTTTCTTTTTTTCCTGGGAGCAGAAGGTCTTAAGGTAGAGGAAGTGAAACAGGAGCTCCCGTCTGAGCTCATCAGAGCCCCATATTTTCTAAAGTCTGGGTCCGTGATAAAGAAGACTGTCTAAATACTCCAACTATAGAAGTCGTGGAGCAGCTGGAGGTAATTTCCCCGTCTGCTGTCACACCTAAATGACCACGTTAATGACAGATTTGGCCTTATCCTTCAGGCCAGCCTTTTTTCCTGTAAATTCGGTCTTCACTTGCTTAAGAAAAATGTGTGAAGTCACAGAGCACTGTTAATTCTAGGGTCTGTGCTGAGCAGAAGCTACCATTTTTGGCAGATGTTTAGCAGGCTTGTTTTCCACCGAGGCAAAAGTGTTAATGCCAGGAGAGACGCTCTGATGTCAGAGGAACAGAAACGCGAAAAGGTCAGTTGGGTGGTTCTCACTGACAACCAACAGAACATCAAAAGGAAGTAAGGAAGTCATATTCCTGTGGTTTTCCATATTTTTGTATTATTTGGAAAGTTTAATAGCTGCAATAAACTAATTCAGTGCACTTCTGCTGAACGATGTGGCTCTAAAAAATTGTCCGAATCATTTCTTTCCTTCCCTCTCAAAACGCTCAACATGGAATTCACTGGACACGGCTCAAAGTGGTGACTTTGCAAACATCCAGGAGTTTCTCTTGAGTCTCCTCTTAGTCTGGTCTGGGACCAGCTGCCAGTCCTTCTGACTCACAGGATTTGCCATCTGGGAGGAGGCCAAAGTGATAGCTTTGAGGATTGGAGGGACGCCAGGATAAACTTATTTCATTCAGTGCTGCTCACCCCCCCCACCTTTTTTTTTTTTTTAGAATTCCACAAAAGGGAATCCCAGATTATCTCTTTTTTCACAATCTGAGACTCATGATAATGGACCGACTCCTACTTCCATGAGAGAAATGGGAACAGGAATAATGGCGTAGATATTTTCATAAAAGTTAACAAACACATCTTCATTTTGCCTGATGTTGCTCCAGCTGTGCGGCACTGTCGCCCCAGATGTGAAGATTGTGCTTGACTACTCAATATGTGTTTCATCAACATAAATGTCCCATCAAAGTTTTAAAAAAAGCCTTTCCCGGCATTTTGGATACGATGCATGCAAAAGGAGTTGAATAGTGTTGTTTTTTTTTTTAAAGCTCAGGCTTTTGTGGTTTCCTAAATGATTGTTTGGCAGGCATTTTTCCACTCATTTTCACTTTTTTTCAGCCAACAGATAAAAAAACAGCTCCTTTCTGCACACCATCACCATCATTGTTACCCTTTTATGCAAACGGCAGGTTTCGAGAACACGTTGAAAAGGACTTTTTTATCAAAGAATTACATAACAATCGGCTGTGATTGTGCGATTTGTCACTGTATTGGCACCGAGTATTTGGACGCACAGAGCTGCTTTTTCCAAGGCTCCATGTTCCCTGAATGTTGCTGGCCCGTTTACGATTTGGTCACAGCTTTGCAATTTCCTCTTTCTTCTTCATCCTTTTTTTCCCCAGTTGTATTTGAGCACCGACGTGTGCTTCTGCTTTCCGGTGTTTCTTTGATTTGGAACATGACCACTGGTTTACTAAACTATTTATCTTTTTTTACGCAAACATAGATTAAAGACATGACCGGCTTAATGATTATACGATCATTTCTAAAAATGATTTGATTGAGCTTTGGCCAGTTCATTCTCTGACATTTTATAGAATATTGTGTATCCACATATCCGTTGAACAATAGATAATGTGATGATTACGCCACAGTGCTGCGTTATTTTAAAAGGCTTCAGATTAAAGGAAACTATATAAAGGCAATTGGGTTGAATGTCTTTTGTATGATCTCTTCAGTCCAATCGAGTTCAAGTAGAAACTCTGCATTTCCACTTAAGCTGCCAACACAGAGCCGGTCTGTTTTTATCATTTTTGACTAAGCACCTGTCTAAATGTTATTTCTTGCTGTTGTCAGATGTCTTTAACTTCTCAAAAGCATAATGTTTGATGATGCACGCTGCCTGTTGAGTTTCCTGTAAATCTTAAACCTGAAGCATTGATGTGCGTCATTTTCTTTTGGAAAAGTGAGGATCATTTTCTTTACTGGACTTTGTCACTGCTGTGACTTGTCGGTGAGTCGTGTCTCACTCCAGAGGCATCCGGTTCCTCTGGCCCTGGACTTTGTCATCTATCACAAACTTCCAGGTGGAATTTGTGTGGAATCCCTCCTAAGTAGCTCCTTTCAAACTACAGGTTAACATTAAAAGTGTTCATTAAAGGTTAACCAAAGTGTCCCCATCTTAAAGGACCTTCTGGGGAAGCCCACACATTTCACTCAATGTTTGTTTTTCCCCAATTACCTTTAAATACAAATCATCTATCTTTTTTTTTGTGTGTGCTGACAAAACAAAAACCTTTTCAGAATATCTCCACAGGCAGTTTTTGTCCCCAAATATATTGGAAAAACGATCAGCAATCACAGAGTGGCCACTCTTTGATTATACTCTAGGGCCAAGCTGTCAACAGAGAGAGCTCAATTATAGGAAAGGCACGAGGTCAAAACTGGAGGCGGTGGATTTCAGAGATTCAGTCCCAAAACTAAACACCCCAGACAGTCGTCATTAGGTGTAAACTCTAACACCTGCGTGCCTTCTTAGTACAGAGGTGTGTGAAACCCAACATCTGTAAAGAATCGCAAAGATTTGATGGGAAAAGGTCATATTAGAATTCAATCTATGCTTCGTGACTGATACATTTAAATGAATGTTTCATGTTTGCGATTAAATAATTTTTTTCTTTCGTGAGTCAGCATATTACTTCAGGTAATAGACAGAGCCCCGAAGAGCCTAGGTTGGCTGGAATTCACTTACTGTGCTGATTGTTATAATGGTAAATACTTTAGTTTGAACTGAAGCAGGGAATTTTTGTACTTTTTAAGTCCTTTAAGGGGGAAATAAAGAGATTAGACTCTGCAGATTGCGTTTTTCTCCAGCTTTTCAGCTGGTTACTTCTACAGCCCGGCTTGATGGTTATATTTTAGGAAATATTATTATTATTTGTATTATTATTATTATATTATAAAGGAAATAACACGAGTTACTCTGGATTTAAATTTTGGAATCATGCAGCGTAACTCTGTTAAAGCTGGTCACGTATAGCGGGAAAGTAAACTGTACCATATTTTTCCATAATGAGGGACTCGGTATGCACCAGGGAAGCCCTCAGCCTTCAAAGTGGCAGACTTCGTGCACTGGAAGAGCATCAAAAGGGCTGATGGCCTAAGCTAGGCATGGCTGCCAGCTGTGGTGTCCGCCGCCATGAGCTGAAGGCGGGCCAGTCCGCGGCCGTCTGGGCACCGTCCTGCAAAGCAGTCACGGGGCAAAGAGGACTGCAGAAGAGGACGGATTAGGCACAATCCCCTCAGAAGAGTTTCCACTGATTTCTGTAAACACAGAAAACAAAAGCCACTTGTGCCAACCTTTAGAAATCCTTCTTTTTTCCTTTTGTTTTTCTTTGTTTTGTTTTTTTTACCAGCGGTGAGGAGTTTTTCTTCTTACTGATGATAATGAGAAACCATCTTTTCATCTGAACTTTTTTTATGTCTGATTTCATCTCTTTAGACTACACATCCTGGTCAAATCACCAGTTTGAATAGCATCAGCAGAGCTTTGTCGCTTTCCGTTTGAAGCTGAATGCAGAAAAATGAATGTATTTCTTCGTCTAAATGTAAATTCCCTGGCATATTTACATAGGAAACATGCCTTTATCAGCAACAAAAAAGCTACAGTTGCTCCAAAAGTATATTTACGTGCTTGTATATTTGTTCACATAGAAACAAGAGCATTCCAATAAGGTGACGGTCAGGCTTTTTTCTCTTGTTGGGCCACCAGAGACGCTCAGTTCTGTTGGCCTCTTGACATGAAGGCGATGAACCCAGAGGTCTCATATGACAGCAGCGTCCCAGTGTGGTGATTGTCTGGTGTTTGGGAGAAAAAAAAAGAAAGGAATGGTTTCTCCGGCTGATGTCTCAGTGGCCCTCTAACATGCCTAACCTGCTGTAGAAGAAGGAAAGCATAAAAATGTCATCTAGAGTTATGTAATTGTTGAGTGACTTGTTTTTTTTTCTTTCAGCATAATTTTTTGTTTATTTGGTGTTGTGTGCAGCATTTTAGCTTTTAAAAAAGCCGTGTTTATGCAGACAGACAGACATACACAGATTGTTGGATGTTTTTATGTAACAGCGGTTGAAACAATGCACTCCCTTGCCAATGACCTAACCCAAAGCATCACATCTTTCCGATTTGCTCCCCCCGCTAACAGGAAATTCCCTTAAGTTGATAGATGTAAGATGATAGTGTGCTATCATCACCCTGATGAAGACACACACACTTGTTTGGCTTTGAGTAGCTGTCAGTTTTTCTTTTTTGTACCAAAAACGGTCTTGATGAATAACGTGTTTGTCGTGATATATAATTATTTTATGCCATTGGGACGTCGCTGGTTTCAGACAACCGTTTAAAACCGCTTCCTTTCATGTGATGTAATGACGTTCAGCTGTAAGACACACAGCAGAAGAGATTGGGAGGACCTGAGCTTGACAAAGACGCCAAATAGCTCAGTTATTACACATAAGATTAGGGTGTGCCAAACTGGATTTACCTTATATTTCTGTATTTCAAGCTTTTACTCCGGGTTCTGGTTTTAAATGGCGGTGACAGTAACTCTTCAGATTAAATGGAATGGTGGTCCTAACTCAAAATCGATAGATTTTCAATGCTAGATTTGGACTTTTCTTTGAAACCAAACTGTTCAGGTTGGATATACCTTCAGCTGTTCCCCTCCCAGTTCATCATCCAAGGTTAGTTTAATGTCTCGTGTAAAGAGCACGATGCGCTTACATGCACCCCCGAGTCCAGCTTTGGTTTTAACTGGACATGCCCGTTTAACTTGACCGCTGTTTTCCTTTGTTGTTAAAGGACTGCGCATATATACTTTGCCCGCTTTCGTTCACGTCTGATTCACACGTCAATAATCAGGAGTACAGTACAGTGTATTTCTTTCAGAGTCATGGCCCTAGGAAAAACACATCCACCAGCAAAAAAAATAAAACCTTCTGAAACCCATTAATGTCAGTCATTTTGCAGTTACCCACGACTGATGTCTCAAAGTGGGTGTGTGTGGGGGGGGGTTTAGTGGATGATCGGTTTCTTTGGGAACAACGCGTGAATAAAATGCTTGTCGGACCTAAACTGGTCTCTGTAATAAAACGAAGATTTCTTGATGACCGATTTTCTATTTATGAAAACGATTTTTTCCCTTATACCCTGTTTAGTTTTCCCACTATGTCAGATGTTAAACCTTCATTTTTCCTTCTCTGTAACACGGCTGTTTTCTTTGCGTGCTTTACATGTATTTGAGACGGAGTCCCAAACACAAGCCGTCCATTCTCAATTCATCCTCTCCCACTGCTGACTTGACTTCTGTCACGTAAACATGAGCTCATCTTGGCTGCTCATCTTCCTAATAATTCCTCCAAATAACATTTTCCCTGAAGATATCTGATTCAAAGGCGGTTTTATTATTTATTTTTATTTTCTGGCTGCGTTCTCATCTGGTGCTCGCTTCGTACGAGGTGCGCGCTGGGCTGGAAAGACCTCCTCGAGGTGCTAAACGGTCAGTTCTCCTCTTCCTGAGACTATTGTTGATTGCGTTTTGGCCGGCCTGCCCATGCTCACCTCAGTCAGTGAAAACACAAGAAGAGTCAGCCTGCAAGTGCGCTTTTTTTCCATTCTTCTTGCAGCGGGAGCCATCGCTGGCTACTGGCCGTCACATTTCAGGATTTCGAACTAATAGCCGTGGCGTCCGAAGCCAGTTCTCTAGCAACCTTCAACCAAACCAAACACAAGCCAAATCTGCTTTTCCAAGAAGCTTTCACTTGCAGACTCACTCACTGCCCACCTCCACTTCACCCTAGCAACCGCTCCGTGCTTCCGTCATAGCCGCTTCAGCAACTTTGGCCAAGCATACAGAATATTTTCCATATGCAACTTCCTCATATTAAACCTGACCTTTGTAGTTGGAGTCAGAAGTGCTTCTGATGTTCCGTCGGCAGCAGTGTCGTTGTGCTCATCAGGGCTGGAGAAGTCTTTACTTTAGAGCACTCGTATTGATATGTATCTGTTTTTTTCTTTCATTTCCATAGCCAGAGCTGTACCTAAACAAACATCTAGTCATACCTCTGGTACATTCTCATTCAGGGTTAACAATTGAACGTACATAATGGGTGGGGGCACTCGGCACATTGTCTAAATTTCATGGTGAGATGCAGTAAATACTGGCGGTTTATAGCTGAACTATCTCAGATCTTTTCAGTGGCGTGGAGGCAAGCGCGAGGAGAGTTGGGAAGTGATACCTGCAGCCCTGCTGAAGAACGTGGCTTTAATAGTGATTTAAAGTGTTTAACAAGTTTCTTACTCGAGATGAGCGTTCCGGGGGCCTTGTCATCTGGATGCATTTAGATCCTGTGTGCTTGGAGCTGGTAGCCAGATGGCCTCAGCTGAGGGACAATGAAATCCCCCGGGTCTGCAGATGAGAGCACCCTCATTCTGATCTGCCTCCCTCAGATAAATCCACATCTGGGCAGCTTTAGCATACTTGAACAGCTTGTGTGTGGTAGGGGACGGGGGGGGGGGGCATTGGGGGGTTTGATCACACGGTGTTTGAAAGTTGATTATTTCACCGTCGACAAAGTTGTTTGTAAGCGGGACCTCAACGCTCAAATATACACAACATACCTACGTCATATCGTCAGTGGTATTTATGATACTGGGTGGAAACGGGGGTTTACTGGAGTCTCTAGGATGGTCTTTTAATCGGGCGATGACACGGAGCATGTGCACTGATCATGCTCTGTGACAGTCATATACAAATAGTTATTTATTAAAATGAGCTCATTTTCCCTCCTCACGCAATCACACGTTGTGTGGTTCGGTTTCTCTGTGGTCGTTCACTCTTTAGCTTATTGTGCTGCGAGTTCAAAGGATGAGCACTTCAGTAATACTTTGACGGGCCAGTAGTTTTTATTTGGAAATGCAGTGTTTCCTGTGCGATAGCGTACAAATGTTTCAGTTTCTCTAGCCGGCGTTTTTGCTTCTACAAATTAAAAATTCACTAAAGGCCCAAAATTGATCTTTGCATTTTAAATATAATTGCTTTTTGGACACAAAATGTTATCTGTTTATCAATCTTTGTATTTTAAATATAATTGCTTTTTGGACACAAAATGCTTTCTGTTTATCAAAATATTTCAATTTTTGATTGGAGGAACCTCTTTTATTCCTCCAAAGACTTTGAGTTATGTTTTTCTTGGTATTTAGATTAAAAGAATAAAACCTTTCCTCTCTGCTCTTCTTGAACGCTCCAATTTTTCTTCCATTTAAAGCTTTTTAAAAACTTTTTTTTACAGATGATGTAATGTTTCTGACCAGGCGCTGCTCCACAAACTCAAAGTATGATGATGCCACCCCCTTGCTTCCCAGATTTAGACATCTTCTTCTATTTGGACTTCCCTCCCCTCCAAACTCTTATGGTTGCTGCCTAAATGTTTTAGTTGTGAGATTTCACATTGCATTTCCCAAGTGCCGGGGGTTAGGGAAGGGCATCTGTCCAATCATTGCACTCCTCTTTTTTCGCCTTTAACACCATATTTGTCGGGCTGCCTCTCAGTCGATAATCACGCTGCCACTCTAAGTCTGCAGAATCCTCTCCGTGGTCTTTGCGGTCAAAAGGGAGACCTGAACCTTCTTTGTGGGAATCAAGCAAGCAGTTTCCAAAGAAAGCTTGATTTAGTCCGTTTGGGCAACACTTTGACCTGCAGGCTTCCTGCAGAAAAAACTGTAAACGTCTGGCTAGAATACCCTCACATCTTCCAACAGCTTTTTCTGGCTTTGGATTGATTAATTGTTCTGATGGATCCCACTCTCTGTGTTACATCATTAAGACGTGTACTGTGTGCAGAGCATCGGCTTGTATTGTGGTTTGGTTAAAAAGGTCAAAATTATGCACAGAAAAATGATCCCTGTCATGTCACAGATTTCACACGTTATTTTTTAAAGCTGAAATAAAAGTCCTCATCTTTTGCCATCCAACAGAAAGCAATATAGAGCAGGTCAGGCTAATGCTTCTGTCCACCATATTTGTGTGAAATAGCCACGATTATCAAATGTGTTCCTAAACTAAACTGCCGCATTTCGTCTATTTCTTGTGGTATTTTTCAACCTGTTCTCGTGGAAGCATCCGCCACTTCTTGCGTGACCTCTCGTTGTGCCATTTCACCACGTTCTCAGCCTCAGACCAGGTATCGGGAGCATGTGCTCAGATGTCCCGTATCGACTGTCGCCGGGACCTCGGCCGCATACCAGCACTCTTCAAACGCTACATTTTACAGACGCATTGGCTGAAGCCGCGCAGGGGTTTTGCATTTTGAGGAAATATAATAGACTTGTGATTCCCGTAAAGTGTTTCCAGATGTGGCGGCGGCGCGGGTGAGTGGAAGGTGCACAAACGGGATCTGTGTCTTGACAGAAAACGCATCATTTCTCAGACTGGGAGCATTTACCGTTCACAATAAACACTTTCACAGGGGGATGAAACATTTATTTTCCGTCTTCAGAATTTCGTTGAGGCGGGTCTGTAGTGGACTGGTTGTGGTAAGAGGGCTTTACTGGTGTGTGACTGCGTTTCCCTGAAAGAACACGGTGTTGTGTGGACATAGAGACACAACACCCGTGTCACGTGTGAAGAGCTGTTTCATTTGCTTTGGGTATTTTGAATACCTTTTTGGGGTTGGGAAGAAAGTGAGGGTTCCCAGCCTCGTCTCAGGACTCCATCTGGTCAGCTGCGAGTGGTCCATCAGGTCTCTACACCCTCACTGGGTCAAAGGTGGTGTCAACAGCATCACAGGAGAATCGCAACAGCTCCTTTTAGCTGTAGCTTTGAGAAAACATTCAGGGCTTTCAAATGTTTAGTTACACTATGAACACTTATTCAGTAGAGCTTCAAACTAAGGTTTACATCTCATATAAAACCCCTTCACTGGGGTTCATTTATCCATTTTCTTCTTATTGAACCGTGGATCATGTGAGATATCAAAGTTCCTGGATTTATCTTCCGATTAATATTACGCTGTGTTATTTATTTATTTATTCCATTTTTTTGCAGCATCAACAATAAACTGCAGCAGCCAGAGGCAGCGGCGGGTGTTCTGGAATATGCCATGAAGCATTTTGGTGAATTGGTAAGTCATTTTACCCCCTTTTACATGAAAATGGAAAATGCCGAACATCCAACAGAACTCGAAAGAAATTTGTTCCTCAGTGATAAAGTGTGAAATCTTGCTTCCAAAATAGATCTGCATTATTGCTTGGTCCACTGTTTCTGCATAAGTTTAAACAGCATTCTTGGGTTGAGATCTCATTCTGTCTCTACAAACTGTAACATGTGCCCACACATTTGCAGACTCTTGCATTTCCCCATACATACGTGGCCTAAATATGTTCCCGCTTGGCCGTATTATATAAGAGTTCTCATCTGCGTTCACCTCTAAAGGTATCCTTTCCCGATATACTTTTTTTTTCTGCCATGGAGACATTGGTTATTTGAGGTTATTTGCTTTTCCACATGCCAGGCATTTAGAACACACTGTTCTTAATGTGCGGCATGTGGAAAATCCATCTGCTACACTGATCGGAAGTCAAGGGCTCGGAGGAGAATTATGGACCTTTCTTGTTTAATTGACAGGATGTTTGGATTTTCCTAAGTTTCGCACACCTTTGATGTGCCTCAGCTGTGTTTTTTTAAAATCTTGCTTTGGACTACCGGGTGGTTTTCAGTGTTGTAAAAATGATGCAATGCTTTGTCTCTACTAGCAGTGTCTCTAGAACAATGTTGGTAAGAGTTTATTTGGTCCATTTTTCACCTGCCCTCAGAATAGCAAATCTCTTGCCTCCTGAATCATTCATGTTTTCATTCTGTCAATAGAGGTCAATGTGGCTATTCACAGAGACCACCGAGGTTTTCTAATATTGCTGGAGGGTGGTTCACTTGAGGTTACCAGACCTGGTCAAGAGTTGAAAAAGCTAGCAATGATTGAACATGATCACACAGAATTTCCACACACATTACATAAGACAAAAGAGCATTTAGCTATTTGTAACATCTGTCTCCCTCCCATTTACAAAAGTGACATCATTACAAAAATCTATTTATCCATCCATCTATATATCTATCTATCTATACATCTATACATTTAAGCAGCTATACATTAAGACACATGCATAAATTTTTGTGAAAATGATTATCTACTAAACTGTTAAATGTTCAAGTTATGAAAAAAACAGATGAAAATTCTTGGATTGTGAATTGTGCTCTGATATGTGGAGGGAAAGAAAGCAGCTCAGCCGTATTTTCTCTGATGGGTTTTTGCCTCTGCACTGAATATTACATAAGTCTGTTAGTCACATATTTCGTTCACTGACTCATAATGAAACATAACCAAGTTAGAATGAGCAAACAGTTCCACAGCAACGATCAAACATCTAATTGGACTAGTATTGAACTTGTTAACTTTCTCTTTAGAGTGCCCTTAGATTAGATACATTTAGCTGTGAATTGGAGTTATATAAATGAACTAAAGTTAATTCAATTCTGGGTTCAAAACTCTGTTCCAGAAAGAGAGAGAGAGAGAGATGTGCACTCTAAGTAAGCAAATTAGCCTAATTTAGAAAAAGCTTTTGGCTTTGACTTGCACATGGAAAAAGTACAGCAGCTTCAGATAAGTCTGCACGCACGGTATGATGTGCAGAACTACAGTAAGTGTAGCATGAAGTCCTCTTTATGTTTGAAACGGCACAATTTATATCTCTGGGATGGCACTGCTGCCAATTTTTCTTGACATTGTGCCCAAATTTCTGCTTTTGGGGTTGTTTTTTGCTATTAGGAAATCCAAGCCACCTGGTACGAGAAGCTTCACGACTGGGAAGATGCGCTGGTGGCATATGATAAGAAGATCGACGTGAACAAAGAGGATCCCGAGCTCATTCTGGGCAGAATGCGCTGCTTAGAGGCCCTGGGAGAGTGGTACGTCCTGAGCCCTACCCACTGCACATTCAGCATGACTCCAGATATTATTTGCAATTGCTGTTCCGTTCAGATATTTCAGAGATTGGATTGAGTCACAATCTCTCTCTTTTGCCATCATTTGTTTTGTCTGAGACATTTTGGCCTATTAATAATTGCCACATTGGTTTCTTCAGTTTTTTTAAGCCGTAAATCAATGCAGACAGGATCTGAGGTTTCGGGTTTGCCTCGAGCTCTTCCATTTCCCACTCTGCTCTTTGCACATGTAGCTTGTTCCAATGAGTCCTGACAGGTCTGTCCTTTCATTCCACTGCGTTGACCGAGGCAGTTTAACCAGGAAATGCATGAACTAGCGTCCAGCAGCAGAAAGAGGCGCCGCCGCTTTAGTGAAAGCTCACCACAGCTGAGACTCGGCTTCACAACAACCGCCCACTTTCAGGGAACATTTTATGGAAAAAAATGGTCTCAAGAAGTCTAGAGTATCCAAACTGATGGATCGCAACAGAACTCATGACACAAAACAGATGTTAATTTGATTATATAACCTGCCAGCATTGTGTAATTGTTGTGGAGTCCATGAGACATTAAAGAAGACGATTCTGCCGAAGCCAAGATAGTCACCGGAGATGAGACACGTTTAGAGAACAGCATGAGTCATTCAGTATCTGTACCTGCACCTCAAGTGTTTCCTCTTAGGGCCTGAAGAGTCAGACCGTGGAGGTAATTATGTCAAAATGTATGTATTTACCACCCTCCCGTGTTAATTTTGTAGCTAGAGATGCAGACCCAGTAATGTCCCTCACTGGAGGAATACGACCCTCCAGTTTTGATATGGAATTGATGATGTTAGGGAAAAGCTAGAAAATACAGAGTGATGATTAAAGAGTGATTGCACAAGTAAACAAAACGCCATGGTCTACACAGCTACGGACATAAGATAATGTTGTGAATGACCACTTACGCACATATCAGAAAATTTCCCTTAATTTGAAGGAAGCTCAGAGTTTGCGTCCACCAAACAACTGGTTGTTGCTCTGATTGGTGTCCATGACTGTAAGAATTGATAAAAACCTAACCGCCATGTTACTGGCTGTGCATTTAGTTTATCCAAATCAAAATCTGGTCACCTTTAAAAACTTAGTTCATTGCTAAAAAATGTCTCTCCACTCACAGATTTGTGTCACCCCTCCAGTCAGATGGTGACCTAAGTTTTTCCCTCTCATGGACTTTGTGATGGTCTACTGTAGACGCACACAGAGTTTTTGTTTTTCAATAGACAGATGGAAATGACTTCACTGACCCCACTGGATTTTTCTCCTGTGAAGCGTTTCCAGCATCCTGCCTGGTAAACACATGCAGTGGGTTTGATCTTCCCCTGCACAATGCATCGATTTCTGTCAATGAAGAATTAGTCTTGGTTCGAGACATTTGTACCCTATGGGAGCAAGCATCTGTTTTCTAGAATACTTGATTGTATCAGATCCCTATTAAGCAGTGCGCTCATCTAAAAGTTACTGTAAGAGTCAATGAATAAATAAATAACTACAGATGGTACCAAAAGCAAGTCTCAACTCTGGTCAGTTTCCTTTTATCCTCAGCCAGAAAGTCTTGATTGAAAAAAATAAAAACTTAACTTGCATGTATTTTCATTAAATCATTGGCATCTGATGACCCCAGACTATGTTAAGTGTATGGCATAGGACCACTCTTAGGTAGTTTTTTTTTTAAGCAGCTGCAATCACATTCATTTGTTTTGGATGGCAATTTCTCTCACCCAAAAATGCTAGATTTTTCTACAGAGGAAAATTCCTCAATTCTTTTATATTTAGTTATTTTCATATGACTTAGAGACAAACATTCATATATTGATATTACCTGACTTTACAATGAAGGTAAGTATTTGGTTCCTCTGAGACTGAGTGACTCTGAGCATTGCTGCCAATGTTTTCCAGGGGTCAGTTACACCAGCAGTGCTGCGAGGAGTGGACGCTGGTCAGTGAGGAAACCCAGGCCAAGATGGCCCGTATGGCTGCTGCCGCCGCCTGGGGTTTGGGTAAGCATTCCTAAACCTGGTATGACTTTCCCTCCTGCGAATGAATTGTTAGAACGTGCTCATTTTGAGAATGACTAGCTGTGAGCGGCACTACGACGATGGTGATGGTGCGGGGTTTGTAAGAGACAGGTTTTCGGTGGAGGCCTTTCTCTCTCTGACTCGATGAAGCTGTGAAAACTGAAAGCTCTTGCCAAGCCTCCCTTGCGTAACCAGATGTGAGTGGTGTCCAGTCATAACATTGACATATCGTAATGCGCAGAGGTGGATAAAAGCAGAGACCAGATTACACAGGCTGCCACAGAAGTTTGGAGGCTCTGGCTTTAACTTTTAAGATCAGTCGTAAACATGAGCCAGAGTTCCCTTCCGAATATGTGAGAAAGCAGAGTGGTCCAGTCGCAATTGGTTGCGTTAAAGCTTGGGTGAATAATGATTCAGAGCTACCGTGATAGACTTTCTTAGTAAGCTAGTTGGTGACAGAGCCCGAGGCTGAATGTTCTAATCGATTTGACAAACCCGGGCTTAATCCTGCCGGTGTTCTTTTCCTTTATCTGATGTCTCTTTCTCAAGGACACTGGGACAGCATGGAGGAGTACACGTGTATGATCCCAAGAGACACACATGACGGTGCTTTTTACAGAGCGGTGCTAGCTTTACATCAGGACCTCTTCTCATTGGCTCAGCAGGTGGGTTACTCAGCAATACACACAGTGGAGAAAATGTACATAGAAAGTCCATAATCTTAGTCAGCATCCCATTAAAGATGTGATCTGCAGCATTTGGCCTGCACTTGTTGCTCCTGGAATTTTTATTGGTCCTCAGAGCAAAATATCAGAAGTTTAAATGTGTTGTAAGCTAATATTGTAAAACAGCATAAACTGACTTTACTTCTACTCCAGTGAGGATTGAATTCCCGTCATCAGCTCATGCCTTTCATTAAAAGTAATAAAACGCCCCGGGTTTGTTTGTTTTTGTCTTTCAAAACGTGGTACCACCGTGGTGTGGAAACCTTACGTAACACCTGGAGTTGTAAATCACCGAAACATTAAGCCCCAAACACATCAAGAGCTTGTCAACAAGGTCTGGTCGAGGTCGCCGTAATAGTTTCCTCATTCGATGAAGTTTAGGGACTCATAGATGAGCTCACAGTCCCCGGAGCCTGATATATATCTTTTTTTATGTTGAATGCTGGCCCATCTAACGCACACAAGCTTCAGCGTTGACAAAAGTAAACACCTGCTCGTCCGATCGCCTCATGGCCATCCTCCTAGTCTTCTTTTCTCTTTTAAGCCCCGGAGACTGGCTCTCTTTCTCCCTCCTCTAATTTTGAGATTAAATCCAGGTGGGTCTCCTAGCATTCTGCGTCTGCTGAATGTGAAAAGCAGACCGGTCTCTCACCAACAATGAGCAGCTCACAATGGATGAAGCAGAATAAGAAGCAGATGGAGCTGGGGTTAAAGCTTAAATGTCAAAACGAGCCCCGTCTAGTTTTCCGGATGTGGCTGATAATCACACTTAAGTCCGTCAGATTCCATAGGGCTGTTCCTCTATTCCCTGTATCCACTCTACAGCCAGACGTTTGCCCAGTGACTGTTTGAAAGGTCTCGGATTGCTTTGCTTCATGGATCTCTTACGTTTGCTCTGTGCCGATGGTGTATAGACACTCCAGTCATGCTTCCTGCTCAGTGTGGCAGTCTGCTGAGCCCTGATTAATAACACATCTAGTCCTCTAATATGCACTTGATTTACAAAGTCTTTGTTGGGTTTACAAATCACAGCCCCTCTTTTGACTTCACTCTATATTTTATCTTTGCCTCGTGCTTCCTGTAATTGAAGCATTGGCCTCACCGTTCACAAATATGCCTTTGTGCCACGCTGCAGTGACATTAATCACTGATAGTGGTATTAATGTGCATTCGTCTTTGTTTTTATGTAAGTGGGATCTTTACATAGGAGATGAGAAGATTTGGTTACTTGTTGTTTGTACTTCCAGAAGCCAGACACTGCATTTATCAGGAGTCGTCTGGACTGCACATTTCCAGTGAGGCCCCAGCTCAGTAATTCATGAGTAAACAGGACTATAACTGTGTGGAGACTGTAAAGAAGCAGCCTCATTGTCACCTAGTAGCAACCACCCTTCCCTAACCCCGACGTCTCGTTGTGCGTGCTTCAGAAGGTGTTTTGGCACGCCATAGCCCCTTTCCCTCCCCTTGAAAATAATAATTGGTGGGACTCTGTCTGAAACAGCTGTGTGCCCTTGCCTCAGAGAGCTTCCTCAGTCATTCTCCCCTCATTTTACCATCCCACTAATAACAGCTCCCAAAAACATTGACTGAAGAAGGCCAAGAAATCTGTACACTTTCAGCTGCACCATTTGTGTCCTTGTTTGTCCCTTTTAGTACTTTGTGTCAGCTCTTTCTCAGTTACTAGTTTTCCACCCCTCGGGGGTCTGACTGGTGATGGAATGTCTGCGGTATGTGAATGTAAAGAAGTGCAGCTCTGACTGTAAAAGTCTGAGCTGAAATCATTCAGACGAATCTCTGGGATACAGTAATGCACTCAAGAAAAGGAAAGGTGTCGGGCTGTGAATGTATGCTAACATAGTTTCAGAAGGCAAAGATTGTCACTCTCCACTTTCTCCTTGTGTCTCTGTGCATAGATGTCTAAACTCTTTTCAGAAGCTTAAGTGTTACATAAGTCTTGCCCTGTTGCTCTCAACACATCATTTTCCTCTCATCATAAAATATTTGGCATTCATTAGTGAGTCGGATCATTTTTATATACAAAAAGGCATTCTAGTCCCTAGTTTTTGGCAGCTCCTGAGCTAGAGGGGTGTGAGCAACAAGTAGCAACACATTTATTTGTACAAAGTGTTTTATTCCCTTGCATTGGCCCGACCTTGGCTTGCTCAGATGAGGTAGGTGGATGAGGCAGTTTTCTGGGGATGTTGGAAATGCTACTTTTAATGATCGCCCGCTTTACTTTTGAGTTAAAGTGTAATCAGAAATGTAGAAACTCTGTTGCACCGTTCAGGCTGACCTGTAAAGGGAAAAATCTGTTTTTTCTAGATGTGTGATGATAAAGCTTTTCAATTTAGGAATAGAGTGTAAACCTGTGTGTGTTTTTAATGCAGTGTATTGATAAAGCGAGAGACCTTCTGGATGCTGAGCTGACAGCTATGGCTGGAGAGAGCTACAGTCGTGCTTATGGGGTAAGTGTTCCTCCGAGACAGCTCCCAGTCTGGCTCCACTGGCACATCTCCCCTCTTGTGCTGTGGGATTATGTCATTGCAACAAAATATTGTCAGCGGTTATATAAAGTCTCCATCCCACATTTTTCTTCGGAGGTCTAAACAATGGTCTGTGCTCCTCTTTTACGATCAGATACATATGTGGGCATACAAACACGTCTCAAATCAGCAATAAAAAAACAGCAGCGTTCTTCTCACACAGATGCCGTAAGACTTTGTTCTCACACCGGCTAACATCAGACACGTCTCAGATGGGACTTAGATTGTGTGAGCTGCTGTAAAAGTGTGTGATGGTGGAATTAATGGTGCTAAATGTGCGTGATTAAAAAAAAAAATACTTCAGTGATCCTTTCACATTGTGCAGATAATACTGTTGCTTTTCCTTGGAAAACATAAATGCTATTATTATGAATCTGTGGTTTATGGGACTGTCTGCTGTCGTTTCCCAGGCGATGGTATCTTGTCAGATGCTGTCAGAGCTGGAGGAAGTCATACAATATAAGCTAGTGCCAGAGAGGAGAGACATCATCATGGAAACATGGTGGGAGAGGCTTCAGGTAAATACAACACATGATGAATGGACTCACAAATACGCACACAACACACACACTCACGTGTGCAAAATGCAATGTAAAGCAGATGTTGGAATGGCTACTGTAACTAATAGAAAACAACCTCTGTGAGGGCATGCAGAGGCGCACACCGAGTAACAAAGCCCCCGTTGGTCTTCCCTTTTTTTGGCTCGCATTATTCCGAAATGTGAAACCAATTTGAGAGAAGCAAAAAATAAATACGGAAATGTTGCCTGGGTAAATTGCCGTTTTCGCTGTTTGCACGAAACATTTCGACAACAAAAACAGCCCTTTGCGATTCATTGTCGAAGCCCTTGAGTTTCACCTCTGAGCACACGGCCGCAGCTGTTTGAGATTCAGGACATCGTCAAAGCAGGAAAATATTTCTTAAGAGCTACTTTAGAGAAGTTCCTGTTTTCCTATTTTTGTTCACGCTGTGTTTGTGTCTGCATTCCTGGAGACAACCTATTGGAGCGCGAATCACCTGGGTGCTGGTGCGGAGTTTAATTTCTGCTCCTCTGTCTGATGTGTGTGAAATACCAGCGAGGAGCAGCGAGTTTAAGGGGATGCTTTTTCCTGCCAGTAAGGCACAATTAGTTTGTCGAACAGCTTTCGGTTTTTACGTTTTTTTTTATTCCAATTATTATCATTTGGAATTATAATGTTGCATTTGCTTTTAAAAGAGCAAAAATGACAAGAACGCCATTTCCACAACCAGTCGGGAAATATCTACCCTCTGCCAAGTGAAATCATTTTCGTCCAATTAAATTTCCCTGTTTAACACTGAAGGGAAAAAAAAACGCACCTCAGCCTTTAAAGTGCAAGTTGATGGAAAATCTGCAGTGAAGGAGATGAAATGTGAAGCTGCTGATAATGGATGCCCCAGTCCTGACTTTTTACACCGTGACCACCAAGCCGATCAGTTTAATGCAGCATGTGTGAGATTAATTAAGCTTAGTTCCAGTTTACGTTTCTTCCCCTATAGCCCCGTCTAACTGCTACAAACAGCTCCTCATCAGAAAAGGAAATATCCCTTGTCCAGATACTCTGTTACTCTGTGTGCCACATGGCTTAGTGTGGTAATGTCCATCAAGCTTTTGTTTATAAACGACCATTTCATCCGTAGCCATTTTGGATCTCCAAAGAAGCAATTTATCAAGCAGACCATGGAAACCTGTTTATCTCTGCCGCACATTTTAACTATGGGCAAAAAATTGTTTTGTTAGCCGCTGTTATTGAGTGCCTTCACAGTTAAAAACCTATTAGCAGATGGCGATGTGGCATTCTGACACCGTGTAATGTCTCCACATAGCTCGAGCGTTACAGGATGGATTTCTTTCCTTGATCACAATCTTGTTAATCTTGCAAAATGTTGGCTCACAAAGAAGCCAAGAGGGCCCAGATCACCCCTCTCTTCAGATAAAATATGCAAATGCATGACACAGCCAAAAATGAATAAAACATTTATGTGCTTCACCGTACCCCTTCTGCAGTCACATGCAATCCATGGGGCCATATGGCAAAAAGAAATCATAAAAAATGCATTATCCCTAACATAAAATGAATTAGCCGTTTGTTCATTAAGGCAAAATAAAAGATTATATGGTTGCATATGAATGCCGTTAAAGATCTTCCCGGTAATTGAATACCTTTGCAGTTTATGAAGCACAATACATTTCGTTCTGCAGTTGGATGATAGCTTAATATTCTTTCGAGACAAATAACTGCTGTCTACTTAAGTGCACCCAACTGAGTCTGCTCCCTTCCCTTTTTTCTAACGTTTCCTTGAAATGAACTTGACCTTTCGTTTTTACCATGCTGTAAAAATTAAGATACCCTTAATCACGATGACTTTCACATAGTAAAAGTCACGATTGAGGTTGGTCTGGGGAAATATTTGGAATCAAGAGGGGCCTTTTTTCTGAACAAACAGGCTGGCCTCATAATGGCCTGTCAGAGCCGGAGCAGCTATGCCCAGTAGGGTATGTTTCCCGGTCGTGATTTATTGGAGGTTAACTTCACACATCTGCAGTCGGAGTCACTGTCCTGCCCCCTTTACTTCTCTTTCCCTCCGTTTAACAATCTGGATAAATGGCAAAGGGCACATGAAAACTCGGTGTCCTGCTGTCCCTCCTTAAATGCATCCCAGTGATTTCCTACACTGCTGTGAGCAAAGTGATCTCCTAATGTTTTAATATTTTTCTTAGAAAGGCTCTTCGATGTTCTCATTTTTGCCTGAACAAAAAAGAAATGGAAATGCATAATTGTTGTTTGAAGGTCATTTCTGTTATTAGACTATTCGCTGTCCCTCAAATGTGTTCAAATCAAATGTTACTGACAATGTTCAAAGTAGTTATAAGATATAAAGCTGTTACACCTTCCCTAAAAGTAAACAAACAAACAAACATGTCATGTGTCATATAAAAAGCTAAACAGTAAAACTTAATGAGCTGGATAATCATTTCTTGCTATGTTTGTATACTTTAATTGCCTCTAAACCCTGACTGAAAACTTTTAATCTTCAATTACACAAGCGTTCTGAGGCAGGTAGGGAGAACCTTGGTGTTCATCCTGAAGCTTGCAGAGACACAACGGGTAGAGAATGACTGTTCCCCTCCTGTGCCAGCAGCAGAGGCAGCCACTGAGCTCCATCCCTGTGTTCATAAGCGCCAGAGCCAGCATGGCAGTCGGCAGACATCTGCACCGGTGTAATTACACATTGTGGCTCCGGTTTTACTACACCCTCTGTGACACCCTGCGCTCGGTGTTTGGTCTCTGAAGGATAAAGGTTCAGCAACAGTGGTTCAATAAAGGAGAACCCTCTCTGATGTTTAAGTGCAATCTCTGAAATTTTGATTGTAATCCAGCACAGCTTCCCTCCGATAATAACTGTAATTAGCCCGTTATCCCATCATGTTAACACCCATTTAGAAACCTCAGTCGCCTCAATGTGAGACCGGAGTGAGCCCCATACTCTTACCTCCTAAAGAACAATTTACTATGTTGGAAACAGGACTATGAACGAAATAAATCTGATCTTCAATTAAAAAGTGTAGTATAGTACGGTAGGTTTTTTGTTAAGATGTTTTGTCCATTCTATTGCCTTCAAATCTGCCTTAAATCAACATTATTCTTAATTTCTGTTGTTAATGACACCATTTTGCCTTAGTGTGAGTTACCAACCTCTGCAGCACAGTTATGATATGCGGGCTAAGAGAATATTTCACAGAACGCTGGTCTGTGTTTGCCTCTTTTTGCTTGCGTGTGAGCTTGCACGCATACATGGGCATGTTAAAAAAGACGGGCATTTTGCAGTAATAGTAGCCCCCAGGGTTTGAAGCGTGCTTCTCCACTGCCATGTGCTCATTCTCTAGTTTAACAACTACCTCTTTTCTTTTCTCTCTTTTTTTTGCGATAAACAAAGGAATAATTTGTTATTTGAATGTATCCCTGCAGGGCTGCCAGCGTATTGTAGAAGACTGGCAAAGGATCCTGATGGTTCGGTCACTGGTTATCAGCCCCCACGAGGACATGAGGACCTGGTTAAAATATGCCAGCCTTTGTGGAAAGAGTGGACGCCTGGTCAGTACATTAACACATTTAGACAAGGCCTTTCTGTTTTCTCCTTATTGATTATTATTCCATTGCATTCTGAATTAATCGTTCTAGGCTGATTGAATCGGTTCTGTGGGCCAGGAAAGGAAAGTTGAGCCCAGAAGAGGTTTTGGGCAGCTATGCAATCCAGCTGTGATTAAAACCTAAATTCAGGCTGTTTCTATCTGCCACTAATGCAATTAGCACTCACACTAAATCCCACTGTTCAGAAACCTGAACTTGGAAATCTGCTCAATGAAACCAGTGCAGTTTTTCCAGCAAATCTCCTCTGTTATTCTTGTTATTCTGGAATTGGAAAGTGATGTTAGCGGATACCGATATATTTGGCAGGGAATGTGTTGGAGATAGAAAACTACATTTTGTACACTGACATGTGTTTTGGATATTTAGTTAAAACCCTTCATCTGATCTGAGCATAAGGATTAGAAGGAAAACTCTTTTATTATGCTAGAGCAACCCGCCAGGTCAAGTGTGTACAGTTCCCTCACACTGACATGTAGACATACTTTTTGCAAGATTGTTATCTGCATGTCAACATACTTTCTGTCTCAGAAATGCAAAATATGCCGCCTCCCTCTTCAGATTATCTCTCACGGTCATCTTGTCCTGGCAATAAAAAAAACTGCCTTCTAGTCATGTAATAGTCCCTGAAATAGAGAATTAACACTCTGACCCCTCAGCTTTTGTGAACCATATCAGATCTTCAGTTCTTTCTTTGTCTAAAATTTGCACTAAAAAAGGCCTTCATTCATAAAATTTTGAGTAGGCTCAAAGCGTGTGCTCATTTCTATTTACTCTTAAATTCTTCAATAAGAATCAAAGCCAGTGTGAAGAGCCTGTGTTTGAAATCCGCGTTCTTTAGAAAAATGTTGTCCTGCCACAGTGCAGTTTCTCCTCACCCACTTGCTGCTAATCTCCTTCTTCTAGGCACTTGCCCACAAAACCCTGGTGCTCCTTCTGGGCGTTGACCCCTCCAAGCAGCTGGATCACCCGCTGCCTACCACCCACCCACATGTCACATACGCCTATATGAAGTATATGTGGAAGAGCGCCCGCAAGGTAGGTGGCTCAGAGCTTCAGAAACGCCGGTTCTGGTGGCACATGTAGCACCCAGAGGTCCAGATTGTTCTCCAGATTGTTCTCAGAGAAATGTTGCGGATGCCAGAGACTACGGCTTGAAGAGAGGAGTGTTTGAGCACACATGTGCCAGTTGGCCACTTTTGGCCCTTAAATTCAAATAAATGACCATGTTTTTCATAATTACTGGATAATTATCTGCTAGCCAAGAAATCAGCAATTGGATGTTCAAAAACAGCTTTTTATTAACAATCTAATGATGACTTGCTGTTAGATCAGCTGGTGAATTCCTGTTATAGCCATTGGAGGCAGCCAGCCCAGAGGTAATTTTGTCTTCAGATGGGCTGATAAATCTTTCCCAGACAAGTTTCATCGCTGCAGTCCATGGTGTGAAGAGATCGTTATTTTACAGTTTAAGTTAACAAACGTTTACAAATTTCTTGCTGAGATTGGCAGGACTCTAGGAAACAGATTACAAAATCACGTTGTCGAAAGGTGCTGGTTTATCGAAGTTCGTGTCGGTTTTTGATTGCAGCTCTGATTTTAATGGCACTTTGAACTTTGGAAAACCGTAAACAAGTTAAACTGTATGTTTTAAACTGGATTATGTGGACCTGAAAAAGACAAAGGATGGTAACTTCTTCCCAATCCAAACAGTTATTAGCCTATGCTGGATAGTGGATCATGTTTTTTTCAGTGGTTGTGAGATATAGACCGAGGGCAGGCCAGGCAGAATTTGTTATACCAAGTGTGACCAGCTGCATAGAATTGAACCTCTGCCCAATCCTCTTTATCTTCCAGAAACACATTTACTCCGGATATACACTTCCAGTGACAGAGAAAGTGTTTGTGCCTCCTTACTGTAGTTCTTATTGAAGGGATTAAAGGAGAGTCCCATCATATTTGCACATTTGTGCTCATAATGTGCACATAAGCACAGTTGCTGTGTTACTGAGTAAAATAGACAGTAATGGGTGACCTATAGTAGATGGTTAGTTACTGATTAGGATTATTACTATTATTGGTATTATTATTATTACTAGTCAAGTTACTCATTTACTGCTCAATTAAAAAGTGATTTTTCTTAAGGACCAAATCACAGCGGTTCATCATCATTCGTCCGGACATGCAATTAGTGAATGTTTTGCATCCTTCCAGATCGATGCCTTCCAGCACATGCAGCATTTCGTTCAGGGCGTACAGCAGCAGGCTCAACACGCCATCGCTGCCGAGGACCACCAGAGCAAGCAGGAGCTCCACAAGCTCATGGCCAGGTCTGTCTCTCTACTCAGCCCCATTAGCAGCAACTGTTGGAACAAATAATGACACCTCTGGATTCACCTTATCCTCTAACTGCAGGGGGGGGAGCCCGGGCTCCGCTGCCGCAGTCAGTCACATGAACAGGCACACCATTTGTCAGCCAATTTCATTTCTCAACTCTCTATTACAAGCTACAATAGTGAACCGAAGCGAGAGAGTCAGAATTCAGCAACATAATAAGTCGCCTTATTCAAAGTGAACGGGGCACTGACAGTGTTGATGCCTAGAAGGCATATCTGTGACTCCTGCTGTGATCAAGGACACGTCAGAGAGGAACCTGTAGGTGCAAACAAGAAAATGAATTATGGATTCATTCTCCAGGTTCACCTGCTCAATATTAAGCAGTGAACTACTCTGGCACAACTCACTGTGACAGTTAATCGCTTATTCTTAACACCTGTTCTCAGCCCTTCACCGGGCCAACGGCGAGCATGTACTGGAGAACTCAAACAAACACACGCTCAGAGTGTTTGATTTTGGTTGAAACCGAAAGGAGAATAAATGTTACAAGCAGCGCTCAAGCGAGGACTGAATTTTTTGTTTTGCCTGTTTCTGCCCTCAATGCGGCATGGCAGAAAAAAAAACACCAGGCAATTTGCTGAACCAAGGAAATCAGAACCTCCTGTGTTTTCTTCCCACGTGGAGCAGACACACAGGTTTCATGTGGCATCTTACACCAGTGTCCTGTGGTCTTTTTCTAGGCTGCCCACATTCTCCGCCCCTCTCACCTCAAAATTCTCAATAAAAGAGTCCCTTCGGTCATAAATGTGGCAATAAAGGTCTCACCAGGTGTGTTTTCTCCACAGTGGCGGGCAGTTTTTCTCCAATACCTCCTCCTGTGGGTGTTTCTCTCCTCATTCCTGGCACAGTGACAGCAATTTTCCATTACCATTACCTCACTTCACTGTTGGAAATTATACAGTTTTGACGTCTGTTTAAATGCTTATCAGCACCGCCACAGGCTCAAAGGAAAAAGCAGTTGACATTCTAATTACTAATGCATGTTTTAGTTAGCGTACTAGCTAACGGGTTTAGATAAAGTTTAAAAGAAAAAAAAAATGTGTCACCAGAGTCCTGAAGCTGTCAGCATGCTCATAACATTTTTGTGACAGTCAACCACTTTGCTTTTTTTTTTTAAAAGCGTACGCAATCCAGAATTGTTGTGCATGTAGGGAAAAAATAACAAAAAACAAAGAAGCAGCAAGAAGTGTGACATAGGATCAGACATGTAAAATCCCAGTGACACTAAATCATGCCGGCCTGTCATCTGGCCATATGCACCAGCGTACAACAATCCCGCTCCCCCTCCCAGCTCGTAAATCAGACGTGACTAGACACAACCGTGACAACAGGCAGAAGGGGCTTCTTTCATTTTTGCATCTTCCACACGACGACTCTGGCAACGTGAGGAATGCGTTTTAGAGAAAACACCTGTCCAGCGCCAGCCGGGATGGGTTCTCCCCAGACATTCTCCCACACTTTCTTGAATATAAGTCAGCTCCGTGGTATGGAGCACACCTGGACCGCACCGTTGGACTCTTATCGCAGTCGCGCATACACCTCCACTCTCTCCTGAAAGAATCCAGGGCTATTCAACCGATGCTTAAATGGGTTAAATAACTGTTTTTCTTGGTCTCGAGAAGTACCAGACACCTGGGCCTCCAACTTTTACACGCCACCTGTGAAAGTGGAACTCGTTAAAAGGTTTTGAATGCGGTATGCTCTAAACCCAGACCGTATTCGGTAGAAAAAACACCACGGCAAAAAGGATATTAATGCGATCGTTATTCAGACTACTGATGGATGGATCAGCGCTAGTTTTGCCGTCTCTTGCCTTCTAGTGAAGCTGCTTGAGTTATTAGTCCTGGCTCGGCCAAGCACTGCTAGTTTGACTTTTGCCTGTAAGCATTTGTGTTTGTAAGTGATGGATGGAGCCAAGTCTTCCTCAGGGATGCTCACTGTCGGCTTAAGTGGAAGGAAAATTGGATTGGATAATTGAAAATCTCCACATGTAATCCCGCCACTTGTCAGCACATAAATGCTCTGCTGAGTTAGATGGCGATAGTTTTGATAAATGTCTGTAAGATTTCCAAGTCGTATATCATTATGACTTCTCTAAGTAAGCTGCCCTTGGAGCTTCCAAAAAAACACTACAAACTTTTTTACAAGGACTGACAACATAAGGACGCTCAGAAACTCATTACGCTCACCCAAAAGAGCAGTTGTTTCCTGCCTACTAATGTAGTCATTGAATTACTGCTGTTAATGATGTTGACCCCTGACTTCAGTCAGTAACTGTGGTAGTCTGCAAAAAGCTTTGATGTGTTTTTTAGTTGTTTTTTGCTCCTGAAAGCCCAAAAATGCCAGTGAAAGTTTTAAGATTTATATAAACCTTTTTAATCTGCGTTGCAAAATTTTCTTTGTGAATAAAGACAATCTGTGCATGTACATTTCTTATCAGACTAAGTGGCCCGTTTGTGTTTGTATGCAGGTGTTTCTTGAAGCTCGGGGAGTGGCAGCTCAGTCTGCAGGGCATCAACGAGAGCACCATCCCTAAGGTTCTGCAGTATTACAGCAACTCCACCGAGCACGACCGCAACTGGTACAAGGTCAGTCCCACCCTCGAAAAATCCAACCTTTCCCTTCTGGCTTCTCTCTGGCTACAGTTAAATCGCAGCTGCATTAGCCAGAGATAGCCCCAGCCATGACATGAAATGTTATGGTGGTTGGAAGTTGGATGTTAGATTTTTAGACTAGGCTCATTTTATTATTTATCATGTAGTCATTCTTTGGGTTCCTTTTCTGTCTGCCTCCTAAGTTATCAGGTGAAAATGGAGCTGTGAACATCTCCACTTCTGTGCTGCAAGCTGCAAATGTCCCAGCTCTCACTCGCTCTGTCTGCGTTCACTAATTGCTTTTAGCTTCCAGCATTTGGGGAGCTGGTTGTGTAACACAGCAAACATAAAACTTAAACGGTGGATCTTAAATTTCTTCCTCCCGTGGGACATACCAGCTCTTATCCAAACTGGAATATTACAACGCAAACACATGTGAAAGGGATTTCAAATGACTAGCTATTAGAGTTCCATTTTCGCCCACTCTGTGCCATCTCTCGGCAGGCCTGGCACGCCTGGGCCGTGATGAATTTCGAGGCAGTGCTGCACTACAAACACCAGAACCAAGGGCGCGATGACAAGAAGAAGCTGCGGCATGCGAGCGGCGCCAGTGCCAATAGTGAGGCCAGCAACAGCGACAGCGAGGCGGACAGCACCGACCACAGCCCCGTCCCCTCGCCGGGCCAGAAAAAGGTCAACGAGGTGAGCCTCACAGAGCGCGTGCAGCCACCCCAGAAATCTTTTCCTCCTCCTGATGCATTAAACGGCGCGTGCTGTGTGCTGTCCCACGGCAGGACCTCTCAAAGACTCTGCTGCTGTACACGGTCCCCGCTGTCCAAGGCTTCTTCCGCTCCATTTCCCTATCCCGAGGAAATAATCTGCAGGACACACTTAGGTGAGTTAAATGTCTGTAACAGTTAAGTAGTAGGAAAAAAAATGTATGGACACCTTGAAGATTTGCTGTGTGAGTCTAGGAGGACCTCTAGTGACTGAGTGGGATTCTATCACAAAGTGGCCCGTGACAGTCAGACTCCTGATGGATTGTTTATCTTTTTGAACTCCTCAGGGTTTTGACTCTGTGGTTTGACTACGGCCATTGGCCTGAAGTGAACGAAGCATTGGTGGAGGGCATCAAAACCATTCAAATAGACACTTGGCTGCAGGTAATGCACACAGAAGCATGTTTTGATGTGCTGTTGCAGGATAATCCGACTGTCTGTGATTAAAAGTCTATCTTTTTTCTCTTTGATTATCTCTCTGCAGGTCATCCCTCAGCTTATAGCTCGAATAGACACCCCTCGTGCCCTGGTGGGCCGCCTTATCCACCAGCTGCTAACAGACATCGGACGCTATCATCCCCAGGTACGTCTGCCAAAGAGCCTCATCAGCCCCGCAGAGCAGAGCCAAGAGCTAACTTTTAAAGCGTCTTTGGGTAAATTAGCAGTTAATTGATGTTTTCTTTCTCCCTTCACCTTCAGGCTTTGATCTACCCACTGACTGTGGCGTCCAAGTCCACCACCACCGCCCGCCATAATGCTGCTAACAAGATCCTGAAGAATATGTGTGAACATTGCAACACGCTGGTTCAGCAAGCCATGATGGTAGCGTGATTCAGTCGCTAAGATGTGCTATAACAAATACACACACCTTCAGAGTCAGGTGTTGCTGCTTCTTTGTGTGGCCGCATCAGCTAATCTAACGCCCACACCCGTGAATTATCTACTGAATTATCAAAAGTTTGTTATCCATCTCATCCTGTTTAAAATCCTTTCCGGCACAAGAATTAGGAATTAAGTGCCGCCGTTGTCTCAAAGATTCTCAGAGATTGCAGTCTTTTTGATCTCTCGTCCTTCTTTGTCCAGGTGAGTGAGGAGCTTATCCGAGTGGCTATCTTGTGGCATGAAATGTGGCACGAGGGGCTCGAGGAGGCTTCACGTCTTTACTTCGGTGAGCGCAACGTCAAGGGCATGTTTGCCGTGTTGGAGCCTCTACATGCCATGATGGAGAGGGGCCCACAGACACTAAAAGAGACCTCCTTTAACCAGGTGTGTTTCACGTAAATGTGAGCGTTTATGATCATGGATTCATTTATGCTTAAATGATGTGTAAATGTGTACACGTATCTGTGCTCGTGACACAGGCTTATGGCAGGGATTTGATGGAGGCTCAGGACTGGTGCAGGAAGTACATGCGCTCTGGAAATGTGAAAGACCTGACCCAGGCCTGGGACCTCTATTACCATGTCTTCAGACGCATTTCCAAACAACTGCCTCAGGTAAGCCAAATGTGGAAACTCTTCTTAGTCCATACTTTCTTTTTTTTTTCTTTTTTTCTTTATGTACCACCTTTTTTGTAATCTTGTTTTTACAGCTCAGGTAGGAATATATACACTTAGCAAAGTATATCACTCCAATATATTTTCTTAATGTACCATCGGGATGGGAAAGGAGGCCGTTATTCAGCTCAATAGAAAGTGAAATCAGTCGAAGCTATTGAATCTCATCTTTGCAAACTAATTTAAATCAGAAAAATATAATTGAGAATAAGCCAGTGAAGCTGCACATATTTTAATGGCTCTTGAGAAAATTGGAGCTGATATCAAGCCACTTCTGCACTTCTTTGTCCACTCCAATCTCTCATCAGATGTGATGAGAGATTTCATGGCCTCACTTATTCTTTGATCTTGTGATAGGTAAATCTGGCTCACTGATGAAACACACTCAGTCATGACTGTCTTAGTCATGTGGGCATAATGGAGAAGAGATCTGACAGCAGAGAGCGGGTTTTTGTTCGAGGGCTTAGGCGAGAAAATATTGAAAAAAGTAACTGACTGAAAGATGGTGCCGGGGGAGAAAAAGATTCCGTTCTGGGTCTGGTTACAGTCCAGAACGATGTACCAAAAAGGGTGGAGAAAGATGGCTTGCGATGTGGCCAAGAAGAATAAGATCCAAGAAAAAAGGCAGAGCATCACTGAAAAGCTACATGGCCTCTGTTGTCTTTCTATGTTAGAAACTAAAACGAAGGGTTTGGGTATTTCTGTGCTGTCTTTATCGACGTTAAAGCTCTTCCTAGAACCTCTGGATGTCGTTTCTAACAAATGTCATCATATTGTTGAAGTGACAGTGAAAATGGTTCTGTCAGCAGGTCTTACCCCTCATAATAAATGGAGGTGGTAATAGTATTTGGCGTTGTGACATGGCCTTGCTTGCGGGGATGCGCCTTGCCGGAATATTAAAGTACCCGGCATGAAATACACGGCAGTATAATAACACGCTGGGAGCAGTGCAAATATTCCTCCACAGGGCATTAACATAGAAATAAATCATCTCCGGGATGCAGCCACACAGCAGATACACAACAGGCGCCTGAGCCTGTTGCCATGCATGGTCGCCATGCATCAACATTAAGGCCATAAGAAGCTTTGTGTCGTCTTTCAGATGACAGACGGGTGGCAAATGGATGAATAAGGTTCTGCAGTGATTAGTAAAGGGGTTTCAGATGAACCACTTTAGCCAAACAAAGCCAGCCAGTCTGTCTTACAATCTGTATAATGCCGCGGGCTGTGTTTTGTCACCCAACACTTTCCCGACAACATCCTCACCTCGACTCTCTGCACAGCTGACCTCCCTGGAGCTCCAGTACGTGTCTCCAAAGCTGCTGATGTGTCGGGATCTGGAGCTTGCTGTTCCCGGAACCTATGACCCCAACCAGCCCATCATCCGCATCCAGTCCATCGCCCCCTCCCTGCAGGTCATCACCTCCAAGCAGCGCCCCCGCAAACTGACCATCATGGGTAAGCAAACAAAGAGAGCTGCCCAGGCCGTGAGGTTCTGATTCCATTGTACGCGGGACATACATCAAACAATTGTTCCAGTGTTGTTCTTCCAGTAGGCGTGGCCCATTAGATTAGAGAAGATGCATTATTATTGCCAAGAACTTCATCACAACAACAAACGGCCCCGAGGGGGTGATTTATTTCCAACTTCATCAGTCAAGGGAAAGTTCTTTCTGTGGTTAATAAATGAGAATAAGAGTCTTTTCCCCGCATTTGAGGAGATGAGTTTAATGCAAAAATGAGCGATTCCCGCACAAGAACCAGACCTGGTGTTTAGTCATCTTTGCACCAAAGAAGTAATGTATTTTTCATTTTCTGTCTCACAGATTGATTTGTCAAGAACCCTCCTCGCATTGTGCATTGGCATTAAATTGAATAGAAATAGATAATTCTTTCACTCTGACACCGAGTCTGCCGTGTGAAATGGAATATGACGGCGCGGAGTTTCTGAAATGGCACCGCACAATAAAGTCACCTTGTCTTGAAGCCAAATCCACACATTATCAATCACTAATGGTTCGCTCTGCTTCACACTCCATCACGGGCTAGGGCAATACCTTGTTCTGATCTGTCCCATCAGTGTTGCACAACACACACTGTAAGAGATGATAGACAATAAATCAGATGACCTCTGGAGCAAGACTTCAGATTAAGACCTGTCATCCTCCACAGGCATCATGGATTTACTGCTGGTGCCCTGTCCTCTTAGTGGCACTCAACGTGTTGCTTACTGGGATTGTCTTCAGAGACAGACTCGAGATAGAATAGAGACTCTATTTGAAATATAAACGCACTCCATGAAAGGTCGTTTAGCAGATAGAGTATTTAGATAGCTTCATAATTATGGTGAGAGACATCATCTGCACCCCAGATTAGTTCATTACATTTTTTTTCTCTCTGTCACACTCAACGCTTCTAAAATTTCCTTGAAAATGAATGAAGTACTTTCAGCGGAAAGGTTATTTTGAGGTCAATGTTACGAATTAATGTAATAAAAACACAAGTAACCTTAATTTCATTCGTCCTTTTTCATACTAAGACCATTTGCCGTCCCACACAATGCAGATTCCATTTTCTTCTAAGTGACACGATTCAGCACAGAAAGCTAAAAGAAAATGCACATCAGGTTGAAGAGAAATAAGAAAACCGAAACAGTTCTGTTCATTTATTGTTAAAAATAATTTCACGTGCATCATTTGTAAGGAATATTGACTTTTCTAGTTAATAATTCAACAGTACAAAACGCAGTCATGTTACAGTGTTCCCATAAACGCTGCTTTAGGAATAACCTGGCTCATACGATGTAATTTATTTCTGCTGAAACTCGCCTCAGGTAGTGATGCAGCTGCAGAGCAGCAGGGGAGCGCAAATCCAACCATATCATAATCTGCACATGATACTTCCAGCAACACATCAATGATATATTTTACGGCTCCATCTACAGGAAGTAATGGCCATGAGTTCATGTTCCTGTTGAAGGGCCACGAGGACCTGAGGCAGGATGAGAGAGTCATGCAGCTCTTTGGTTTGGTCAACACGCTGCTGGCCAACGACCCGGCATCCTTACGCAAAAATCTCAGGTAGACCCGAACCGATGCACGCAAAACGCAACGCGGATAAACACAAACATCCGGCCGCCGCTCTGCCTCTGCTGTTCTCAGTATGGGCTGTTCTGTTCCAGCACTTCCCCACATGCATTAGACAACAGGAGCGTTTCTGCTTGACAGGCATTCTCATCCAAGATGGAGCTTGTTTGGAGTGCAAACGAGCCTGCGCTCGATGCAAAAGTACACAGTGGAAATTGCAATGTTATATTTATGCCCTGCTAAAAATAGAGACCAGCTTATCCACGATAAACGGGCGGGGGGGGGGGGAGATGGACGGAGAAAAGCGGCAGATGCCATCTGCATGCCTGTTTGCTCACCACAGAATCCCAAGTCCAGACAGTTCTCTGTTCCATTCATAATTGGCCTCATTTGAACATTATCCACTTTTTTTTTGCTGGAGCTGGTGAACTAAACTCTGCATGTGGTCTCACACTTACTTGAATATTTCTTTTATACTTAAAAGCCCTCCAAATAATGTCTACACATAGCTTTTGGTCTAAAATGACTGTGTTTTACACATTTTGAGCCTAAGCCTCTGACAAAGAAATATGTGTGTATGTGTGTGTGTTTGTCCTTTTGTTGGCCGTATGTTGGATCCTTCAGCATTCAGCGCTACGCAGTGATCCCGTTGTCCACCAACTCGGGCCTGATTGGCTGGGTGCCCCACTGTGACACCTTGCATGCCCTCATCAGAGACTACAGAGAGAAGAAAAAGATTTTGCTCAACATCGAACATCGCATCATGCTCAGGGTGAGAAATCATGACTTAAACCCATTAGGTTTGTATGACCACTGTTTAGATCAATAAAAAGAGATGGAGAAAGTTTTTCCAAGCTAAAATTGTGTTATTTTTTTCCTTCATTAGAGCAAAGTTTTTTCTTTGTCATATCGAGACTAGAAAACAATCGCATTCCCATGATGGATCGTGTAGATTCAGATGTAAATGAGCTTATTTACTCAGATATTATTTACTGATTAGTGCCAGCAGTTGGTTTTGTTCTGAAAGCATTTCTAAACTTATGATTTTCATATAAAAAGCATCCATATTGAATAGAGTCATTGAAGCTTCTGAAAACATCTGTTTTCAGTAATTGTATTGCTGAGTGCCAATCTCCCCTTAATCAAAACACATTTTCAGACCCTTGATTGCAGAAAATGAGCTACATATATATCCTCTGAATTCCCAGTTAGTCAACAAATATAATTCACGCACACTTTGATGCTATATTGTTACCATACGGCAAATAAAAACAGTGTCTCAGATGAAATTTGAGAGAGGAGAAAAAACTGGTTTGGGACCTGAACAACTGAGAGCTCTGAGTGAATCTATACATTTGAGAAACACTTTGAAATGCCCTAAATAAAGCGATGCTGTCATGATTATCTGCGGGTGTGATGTACTCGTAAGTGGGGAGAATACAGTTTTTCTGTTAGCGAGCAGACAAACAGGACACATTACAGGAAAGTCGCAGGCATCAATAATACAACATTTTCTTTGACTGCTTTAGATGTTTGCGTGATTGATGCTGCTTATTTTTCAGTTAAATAAGTTAAGTTGGCTGTAAGTAATAATAGGGATTGTCCTACATTAGGGTTAGCCACCTCCCTGAGATGCACACAGCATGGATAACTATTAATGCTGAATGACGTGCACACATTTTGGACCCATCCTGACAGCTTTGCTTTACAGGGAAGGCCTTGTTGATAACAGCAGGACAATATCAAAATGCATTATAATGGATGGATGTAAACTGCTTCTAAATGTGAGAGCGTGTCGTACAGTAACATTTCCCAGTTTTAGGATTTGTCTTTGCTCCCTTTTGAAATCAGTAGAAGGTTTAAGAACTGCGTTTACCGCCTTATGTAGTTTGAGTAGTTTGAGTGGGGTTATGTTTGGACCAACGTATTTGGTGACGTGTCTCACTCGCAGCAAGTATGTCAACCGTTTTAGAAAATTTATGTTAAGGAGAAAGGAAAGAAAAGTTTTTACATTACCTTTTTGCATGCCCTGCCGTGTGCCCCCAGGATGTTTTGCTTCAGCGGAGCTTCTTGTTAGTGGAATGACATCACACCCCGCTGTGAAGTTAGTGATGACACAGTTGCAATGATGTGGCAGCTCAGGTTAATAAAAGAATAGCAGTGTTTTTGTTTTTTTAATGACTCCCCTCAGCTCTCCATTTGTCTTCGTGCGTTTTCATGCTCCTCTGCTTCAACCCTTTCCTTTCAAATTGAGTTTGGGCAGACGTTGGTTTAAACGGTGAGTGAATTTTAGATCTGCCTGTTTTTAGATGGCCCCGGACTACGACCACCTGACGCTGATGGAGAAGGTGGAGGTTTTTGAGCACGCTGTCAATAACACTGCTGGAGACGACCTGGCCAAGCTCTTGTGGCTCAAGAGCCCCAGCTCCGAGGTGAGCTGCCCCACTTCTTTTCTCTGGGGACAATGATTGCCGGTACTTGATCTTTTCTCAGCTCAGCCTCATGTTTCAGTGGTTTCTGGGTAAAAAGTCAAGAGTTCTCAATTATATAGATCTTGTTCCTCCCTCACTTGGCAGTATTCCATTAACAGACCTTCATATGGAAGTATTATTTTTAGGAGCAGAAGTACTTCATGTGCCTGATGTTCTACAAGCCTGAAGCAGATCTCCAGTTCCTTTTTCCACAACAGATGTGCTCAGTTCTGCTCAATTTTTTTGACTAAAAAGATCCTTCATGATGCTACTGTGGTTTCCCCCACAGGTGTGGTTTGACAGGAGGACCAACTACACTCGCTCCCTGGCGGTGATGTCCATGGTGGGATACATCCTCGGCTTGGGTGACAGGTGAGCTCCAGCGTGGCCTCGATCGACTGTTCGACAGTTCATTTCGTAAGTATTGATTAAAAAAAGATTGTGTTTTTATTCCCCAGGCATCCGTCCAACTTGATGCTGGACCGGTTAAGTGGCAAGATTCTCCACATTGATTTCGGGGACTGTTTTGAAGTGAGTTTCAGCACATCCCCCAATTTTTTCGTCTTCACTTTTTCAAAAATGCTTCCGAATCTGACCCTCACATGGATGTTCAACAGGTGGCCATGACCAGAGAAAAGTTCCCCGAAAAGATCCCATTCCGACTGACGAGGATGCTGACCAATGCTATGGAGGTACCCCACTCCTGCTGAAGCTCTGATTAATGAAGTGCTCAGCGCTGATGCCTGTGGATTTGATAAACTAGTTAAATGGGCGTTTGGCTCGCACTCTCTCAAGGTCTCATCTTAGCCAGTTATGTGTTCCCAGTCTCATCTCCACAAGTAGTCCTCTATTGTCCAGGAATCATGTCTGAACAGCTTCTTCTTTGTGTTTTGAACAAAATAATTACTAGGCTTTTTCAAATGTTCTGGCATTCATCGGAAGCCTTGACTCACTGCGTCTTGTGCTTAATGAGCAAAGGATAAAAGGAATTAAAAATGAAAGCATGAATGAATAATTCTAAGAATTTTTTAGTTAATTCATCTAATAAGCTGCAGGAAGAAGTCTTCCTCTAAATCAGGAATATGTCTAAAAAGTCTCTTCAAACAGAGGGAGGGTCTTACCACCGCTGGAAAAAAAAAAACGCATTTGGCTTTTAACTAGCAGATAAATGAAGACTTTATAAAAAGTTAATTATCCGAGGTTATTAAGTGTGTGTGCGTGGTTGTGTGCCAGGTTACGGGGCTGGATGGAAACTACAGGATCACGTGCCACACAGTGATGGAGGTGCTGAGGGAGCACAGGGACAGCGTGATGGCCGTGCTGGAGGCCTTCGTCTATGACCCCCTGCTCAACTGGAGGCTGATGGACAGTAAGGGGCCCCGGCGTCCTCCGTGTTTACTGATGGTCTCTAAATACTAATGGTGTTCACACCCGCAGTAGGCAGGACTTCACACACAGAGGTCCTCTTCAGATCCTCGCTCCTAATTAAGATTACGGGCAACTCGCAATAAATTGGCTTTAACAAGTCAAATAATGTCTTTGGGATCAGCTGCGCCAGACTCGTACGTGATTAGTATTGTGGAAGGGGCACTTTGGGCATCATATGTTCTCTCAGCTGGTGGAGAGCATAAAGAGTCTGATGTGATGAATTTAAAGGTGGTTGTCTGTTTCAAGTGTTGAGCGAATCTCCGCGGCATTCGTACGGCTAATGATGCAAATGTTCCCCCTCAGCTGTGCGCTCATCTCACAACAACAGAACACAGAGGTTTCATTAGAATTATTTCATTTAAAGACAACAAAAAAGAAAAAAAAACGTATCCAGGAATGCAGAGCCGGCTGCTCAGTTAGGAGGCTCATTAGCGGTTTGAAATTCTTTTGTACTACTGTAATTATTTTCCATGGTGTCAACAGCACCAGACGACCTTAATTAACATGGAGAATGCTGACAGTTCGTCTAAAGCCGGAGGAAACACAACCTGGGAGGCGCTTCCAATGATTTGCTCCTTTTCTCCCCCATCGGATCAGTTTAACGCTGTTGTCTTCCACGTGAAAAGCCTGCATGTCCCTAACTTTGTCTGTCTCCCGCGCAGCAAACACCAAAGGCACCAAGCGCTCCAGAACCAGAACCGACTCATACACCGCCGGACAGTCAGTGGGTCAGTGCAGCCTTCAGTTACAACCTCCTCCCGTTTTCCGTTCAGCACAATTAGGCGTCTAAACATGTCACTGTGCGGTGTCACCTGCAGAAGCGCTAGAGGGAATAGACCTCGGAGAGACCACTCACAAGAAACCTGGAACCACAGTGCCTGAGTCCATTCACTCCTTCAGTGAGTTCCCCCTTTTGTTTCTTTTTTTCTGGGATTACTTGTGTGCGGAGCGCTCATGCTGTCATAATTGATGGCACGGTGATTCGTGCAGGGGCTGTGCTATTATAAGACAGCACTTACATCTGCTTTGATTTCCCTCCGCTGCAGCGAGGCTCGGCGCAGACAGAAAGCACAATTTGTTTTTCTGACATCGTCAGTCGTTGTTGATGCCAGCATGTCTGTGTTTTTGTTAGTCGGAGACGGCTTGGTACAGCCCGAGGCTCTCAACAAGAAAGCTATTCAGATTATCAACAGAGTGCGGGACAAACTCACAGGTAAGTCGAGCAGCTCACAACAGGACACACAGTTGTGTAGCGGCGCTGTGGGAAATGCAGACAACCTTTCAAAAGTCGGATGTTTTTAACTTTTCTCTCCATAGTAAGTGGAAGCTAAACTGAATCCGCATTTTCTCACAAAAGTGACGTGTAATAGAAACCATGTCACAGGAAGCCGCCTTTGGGAAAACATCTCAACACGGCCCGACGTTTGACAACGTCAAACAGCGCGCTTCACCCGTCGTGCTTTTCTGAAATGCGTATGCATAATGTGCCCGTGTTTTAAAGAGAGATTTGTCTCTGATAGGTCGGGACTTCTCTCACGAGGAGACGCTGGACGTGCCAACACAAGTGGAGCTCCTCATCAAGCAGGCCACGTCACACGAAAACCTGTGCCAGTGCTACATCGGATGGTCAGTACTCGTTTCTGCTTCACATAAAGCACCGATTCAGACAGTCAGACGCAGAAATCTGCCTCAGTGCAATGCGTACATCATTAAAATTGAAGTTATGCCTTTGTAGTTTGCTCATTTTCTCGTAGGTATCACTGCATAGCTCCTTATGCTGCCTAAACTTTGCCCTTTCTTTTTGGTTTCCATTTCCAGGTGCCCATTCTGGTGAAGAGCCATCTCTTTGATCCAAGGTTACACTTGAATTCTTCGTCTCTGATAGACAAAGAAGGAGCACTCAGCTCAGACTGTAACCAGCTGAAAAAGCAGCAAAAGAACCTCAAGAGAAATGCCTCTGGTTTTCCTTTTGTTGTAACTTCACAGGTAAAAAGGTTCAGAGATTCTGAAGTACGCCGAGTGCTCTGTTTTTACATAATTATTACGAGTCCTTGCTGTAAACTACGGTCACTGCTCAAGCTAACTCTCCTCATTTTTAACATCTTAAGTACTCGCTCGAAGCTTTCTAGAATGGCCATATTGTAATAGCCTAAGATATTTCTTACTTCATGCAGTCTGTTCGCCTCTTCCAACCCCCCCCACCCCCACGTCTGGTGTTTCACTGTGTATCCACGTGAGAAATCCCACCGAGTGACGACATCCTTTAAAGGTTGTTTGTGAACAGACATGAGAAAAAGATGTTGTGAGATGATCAGAATGTACTGCGGTTGTTAATGTGCCATTAAATTCTGTACAGATTCCACTCTGATTTATACTTTTTTTCCTGTCGGTTTGACTGAACTCATTAAGCAGCTAAATACAAAAAGCGGCGTGTAATTGGAAAAGTAGCATCAGACATGGTTTTTGGAAGCAGGTTTGCCTCTCTCTGCTTGTTTTTCCGCCGACACCCACAGAGGGCACTATGACTCCTGGTAAAATCCATTGTCTGCCGCCTTCTCCAGCCTCTGGGCAAACGCGCTCTCGACGGGTCAGAGATGGCGACACGGGAGCGGATTGTGCCCTGAAACGCTGCATTTCGACCATGTGAGACTCCTTGTATTTGTTGTCATCGTGCACAGATTCCCGGCGACCGCGCTCTGTGACGGAAACAGAACCGATGCCGAAGCCGTAAATTGCCGAGGCAGCTGCAGACAGCCATTAATTCAGCTCTCTGTGCTGTTATCTCCTGTGCTTCGGCTTTATTTGTGCTGGTTTATATCCCCCTGCTAATTTCTACATTTATTTCTCCCCTGCATTCTCCTCTGAAGGTTAATTACTTATAGATAGTTAGGGATTAGGGATCAACAAAAAGTAGCCCATTGATCTCTTCCCTGCCGTGCCCACCTCTGCAATGTCACAGTCTTTACACATTGGAACAGAAGCTCGGTGATTATCTGTTCATATCGATTGATTCCTCCTCTGTTTTCCCTCACTTTTTTCCCTACCTTAGCTTCCTAGGCCTCCCCTCTTCCTCTTTCTTCCCTCCTGCTATCAAAACCTCATTACCGAAAATGTGACTTCTCATTGTCGGAGCCGCCATTTTTGGTGTCCTCTCCCCTCCTTTTTTTCTCATCTAATTTGTTTGCACTTTTATTTTCAGCCTCAACTCTGGTGAGGGGCAGGTTAGTCAATAGCTGAAGTTAAATAGGCTGCATTGATTGGGAGAGGGATTTAGCTGTTTACCAACTGTGGAAATGAGTTTGGGCCACAGAAAAACAGCCCAGGTGTCCGTGTGATGCAGGTCAATGCTGACAAATGATACTCATCGGGAGACAATGCCCCCGAAATGAGGGAAGGTGAAAGGCTTGGCAGCGGAGGCTGGGGATGCGGCAGGCCTCGCTCCATCACCCTTTCACGTGGTCCCACGAAGCCAAGCGGGCCCGGAACATTAGGAACCACGGCCATTCTTTCTTTTTTTTCCCCCCCGCTGGGATCCAAGCCCTTTTCTCTCGCATGTAAAGCTTTTTTTTTTTTCCCTTTTCCCCCCCGTCCGTGACCTTGTTTTTCACCACACGAGCTCTCCTCCGGATGTTATTCCACATTCATGCACCCTCTTTAGCTTTCCATAACCCCCTCGAGACTTTACAAATGCTCCATCCGGCTCCTGCCGCGGCTCGAGTGCAGTCACACGTACCAGAACACGTCCCTCAAATGGGGAAGTTTAGAGTTTCTCCTAAAAAAAAAAAAAAAAAAAAAAAAGAAACGGCATAAATTTTCATTAAGATTCTCGGCGAAAAAAATGCGTAGATCCGTTCGGTTTAAAGCGCCTCCTTGAAATACCAGCGATCTCTCAGGACTCCGGCTGAGTGGGAGCTCATGAAACGATGACAGAATGGCTAAGAACAGAATGCCCTCATGTCGAATTCACTTGTAAAAGGGCTTTCAAAAACCCTGTCATGCCATTGTTTGAAGTCTTATTACAACTGAAAGGAAGGACTTCAGTTAATATTTCCTACAGGCAGAGATCATCGATAAGACCGAAGCACTGATAAGGAGGGGGAACAAACACATTGAGATAAACTAATCATGAGCTTTAAGTGCTTGCTGATTAATGATTTTTTTTCTTTTTTTTATCCCTGTGAGACTTCACTCAGAAGGGAACAGTTTTTTTAGCTTTTTTTTTCTGCATGACAAAGTGCTTTCACAGGCAGAGGTTTGATCCCGATTGGAAAAAATCCAATGAGGCTTTTTCAAAGGCCGACGTTTTTTGGAAAGCCAGAGTAACAGAAGAAATAATGAGCGGACCTCTGAGCGAGGGAGGGGATTGGTTTTCTCCTCAGGGATTGTTGCGCCGTGGGACGGGATGTGGGGGGGGGGGGCACGGGGCACGGGTTCCTGCCTCGGCTCTAATTGACGAGTCCCGTTCACGGGCAGCTCCCTTACGGCTTCGGGGAAGTTGCAGCAAAGAGTCCAGCAGAAGTCAAACTGGGTGCTTTTTTTTCCAAAGGGCCCCCCCTTCCTCCTCCTCTGCATACGGCCTCCCCCTCCAGCCTCGCGTCTGGCATAGCCGGCAGCTGGGAGCAGAGGCGGAGGCGATATTGACAGCCAACCCCCGGCAGCTCGATAGCCCGGCTCTGGAGCTGCTGAGAGCTGGAGCCCTCAGCAGCAGCAGCAGCCAGGACTCGGGCTGTCTCTGTGCACTGTGGTGTAAAAAGCCGCTATCGATGAAGCTGACAGCAGTTTAGCCCCGTCTGAGACGCGGCGCTCTCTCCCAGGACGCTCCCGGAGACGTTCTCCTGCCAGCCTCGGCCTTGTTTACCCCGACCGGCGGAGCTCCTCAGAGATGGGGGGGAAATCAGGCCTGCCCGAGGAAAGATGAAGCGCTTTTTCTAATCATCTGCCTGGTCGTGAAAAGCCGGTGACGGACGCAGCGGCGCGTCGTGACGGGCGTGTGAGAGGAAAACAGATTCCTCCGGTTACCTCAGAGCTTGACGATTAGAAGCAGGTCAAGGAGAGGCGAGCTGAGGAAAACTGGGACGGTTCAGAGTCGACTTGCAGTGGGCATTCAGCTCTGCATGCAGTCTGTTGACTGAGCTGTGGTTAAACAGTCGAAAAAAGCCCAACTCTAAAACTGGGTGACATCACTTTATGGCACACAGTGCGCTTCTTTTTCGTGTTAACGGAATCCGCTCGTTTGGGATGATTTGTTACCCAACTGTTGGGTAACACGTTTCCCCCCTTTTCTTCCATTTCCACCTGAACGTCGTCTCTTAACAGCCGCATGATAAATGTCTGCTGATTGCGCCTTGCGAAACTCAGCGTGGCGTATTGGAACAAATGCACTGATAGTACGGCAGTCTTAAATTGTTATCCATTGTTATTTCTGGCAAGTACCGTGGAGTGTTAACTGGTATTGTCGTGAAGAGCGCAGCTCCAGGAAAAGACCATGCAAATGTTGGCATTTACCTCAAGTGGTACCTTACATGAACAATGTTCCTTTTTCTTTCTGAATAACCCACCTGGATGGACGACACTTTTCACTAACACCTTCTTTTTTCCTTTTCTGAATATATTGAAAAGCAGCGACCTTTAAAAAAATAGGACATAGTTTATATATTCAGCCCTTTCCATTTCTTTAAAGTATTTCAGAACACTAACAAGGATGATGAAGACACCTTTGTTTAAATAACGGGAATCGAAACAGAGGAATATGACAGAGGAATAATATTATGTTTCAGCTCATAGCAACAAAGGAAGTTCCTGCATTGGATCTGCGTTGGTCTCTTTAGAACTGTTAATTGGATTCTTTAACAAAAAGAAAAAAAAAGAAAGAGTGGAAAATGAAAACACAACCTAACCCAGCGGTGCCTGAGAGCCCGAACGCACTTTGAAAGGATGTGGAGTTTGGAGCGCCATCTCTGAGTGGCAGATCCTGCCGTCAAAGCGTTTAAACCACAGAGCTGGAATTCAGTCAGGAGTCGGGTTTGTCGACGGGGATGTTTTTGAGTCCAACCGCTTGGATCCAGTTTCATTCGGGTATTTTATTCTTCCTCCCCCTTCTTTGCCCTTGAATATACTTACCACATTTATTGCTTAATTTGAATCTATCGAGGTAAGTCAGCATCTATAGTTATTAGTTTTATTCCGCTCTTAATCGACTGGTGAACAGTACAAGCTAACACTTTGGAAAAACAAGGTCGTATTGTTACTTAATATCTTCTTGGGAATTAAAATGTGTGCATTTCTCTGTGTAGAAGTGGTGGCAGCCTCCTGACATTTCCCCGCTGAGGCCTGCATATTGCAGCAGTGCTGCGGACGACGAACGGTCAGCCGCTCAGGTCATCACACCGCTCGGAAGCCAGACCTAATTTCTCCTGACAGCCGCGCTGCATTCGGTCCCAGCCTTTGGTTGCATCTTGGTAACGGGCCAACATGTCCCTCACCCCACCCCCAACCCACCCCCCTGCCTGCACGTGTACGCCCTGGTAACGTGGGGCAGGTCACCCAGAGGTAAAGGTCTGCGTTAGCCGTGAGCCTGGAGCTTGAGTCACGCCGCACGGTCAGCACTAAAGCGCCACCGCGCCGGACACAGGCGTCCACATCAGTCCGAGGCCACCAGGCCCATAATATCCCTCCAAATGAGATTCGGTGAGAGGCGTCCCTGACCAAACCTGATCCCAGTACTTATATTTTTTTCCCTCTGCATCTGTGTGTGTGTGTATGTGTCTGTGTGTGTGTGTGTGTGTGTGTGTGTGTGTGTGTGTGTGTGTGTGTGACAGTGCCCAGGTGTGAGTG